GTTTGTAAAAGAACAACAGCAGAATATTCTACAAAGACTATCTTCTGATGCGAAACTCTCATTTGCATTAGATTGTTGGATTTCTCCTTTCCAGCAGGCCTTTATAGCGGTTACTGACTATTTTCTTGACCACAACTAGGAATATCGGGAGCTCCTTTTTGGCTTTGAGTCTTTTTCTGATACTCATTCGGGTATAAATCTCAATAAGATACTAATGAAACTTCTCCAGCAACATAAGATTATAGACCGAACACTTGCAATCACCACCGACAATGCGTCAAATAACAATATCTTAATGACCCATGTGAATAACGCTATTCAGTCATTAGAGCTAAGTGAGAGCTCTACTATTATACGTGTTCTATGTATTGCGCATGTCATCCAGCTAAGCCTAAAGGAGCTCCTTGATCAAATGAAAGCAAATCCAAAAAATGAAATAGCAGAGACAGAATGGTCTGAAACTCGCATCCAGTCTCTTCGCGCGAGACAGCAAAAAAAGGAGATTGTTGATACATTAAATAAAATATACTCCTTCCCCTCTTCACATTTCTATTATCTTCTAATTCATCTTCTAGGTACGCAACATGGTTATCTATATTAACGCCAGTCCTCAGCGTCGAAAAGCCTTCTACAACCTTTAGATAGAAGAACCAAAGCTTGTTTCTATCCAGAATGTTAAAACTCGCTGGAATTCAATTTTTTTTATGCTTCAGCGTGCAAAGCGACTACAATTTATCTTTAACAAGTTTTGTGAGCACTACGACCAGGATCATTTTGTTCTCGGTGCAGAAGAATGGCGCCAGGTTGAGTATTTTTTTTGGGTTACGCAATCGTTTTTTAAATTCACTTTTCTTCTCTCACAAACAAGAGATGTGACTATTCATCTGGTCTTTAGCATCTATAATAAGTTCTTTAGTCATCTAGAGAAGTCGATCTGGCAGCTTCAGCGAAAGAAGGTTTTTTGGAAGCAGTTTATGCTAGCTGTCCTCCACGCAGCGAAGAAGAAGTTCTTTCAATACTATAGTATGATCGATCAGATGGATAGCGATCTTTATGCAATTGGCACAATTATTGCGCCGCAACAGAAGCTTCAGTTCTTTTCTGGGAAGGATTGGGATGATCCAGTCAACGACTGGCGTGGACGCTATCGTGCGAGTATTAAATGTTATCTTGCATTCTATTAGCAGCGGGTTTCAGATACCCAGTTACTGGCTAAGGTTTGGTCTTCAGCTACAGCTATCTCTGAGCTTGAGATGATATGTGAACCAGAATTATTTCAATGACCAATGACAGGCCAACAGGATGAACTTTCTTTATTTCTTGATAGTGGTACGTGATATAATCGCTTTAGTTTATTTATAACTAATATTTTTAATAGCAATTGTTCGGTCTGGTCCTCGAGTATTTTGAAAGGAGCACGAGCATGAATTTCCAGCGCTTGCAAGTCTTGCCCGCGATATTCTCTCAATACCAGTTACTAATGCAGATGTGAAACAGTTCTTTAATTCCGTTCGAGATGTCTGTCATTATTGTCGGGGTTCTCTTAGCTCTAGAATTATCCAGGACCTAATGTTATTTATGTGTACATTCCGATTTGATTTCGAGGAAGAACAGAGGGCAATAATGGACGAATATCTTTCACATGAAGATAAGCAGGCCGTTAAAGAGAAAAAAGATACGCATGCAAGTGAATTCGATTCAATTAGTGATAACGAGGAAGAAGGCGAGGGGGTTTTCACTCAGATACAGTCTATAGATCAATCTCAAAGTGAAAAGAGCCAGAGGAAGCGGCGAAGGAGTGTTGCATCCATGTCAGAGGAGGATGATAAAGATCAAGAGGGTGATGAGATAGTTCTTTCACTACTTAATATGCAGCAGCGTATATCAAGCAGGGTTCGGAAGCGTTCAAAACTTCTCGAAGGATACGAGATTGAATTAGAATAGTTTTATAGCTAGTTTTCATCCCAAAATAAAGCTCTTTTTAACTGATCTACGCCAAATCTACGAATGCTAGGCAGTAGAGAGCTGTAAGCGAAATATTGAAAAATACAGGCAAAATCTACATAAAATATGCAGATTACAAGTTCATACTGTTTGTGCTGTTTGATCACCCGCGGGTCACCCGCGGGTCACCCTCGGCGAGGGTCTCCCAAGGCCAGACCCTCGCTGTGGGTAAGGGGGTCGGACCCTCAACCCTCAAAATGAGGGTCTGAGGGTAACCCTCCGAGGGTCACCCGCGGGTCTCGCCGAGGTCTAGCCCGCACCTTGACATAAATCATTCAAATAAAGCTGAATTACATGAAAAATATATGAAATCCAGAAAATTGAGATATCAATAAAGACCTGTAACTAAATTACCTTCTAGATGTTTTTCATCATGCTATCATTATTTGTTACATTATCAATAATAATAAATAATACACGATTAGCGATATCATAATTTTAGAAAAGCTGTAAAACAGTTTTACTTAGATTTTTACTTGTATGCGAGCTATAAAAAAATTTAAATTCAAGAAATACTTCACAGTAATTTCAGTCTTGATCAAGAAAATAATCTGTGATAATTATAAATGTTTGATAAAAAGATGATGTCCAACAATCAAATACAATTGATAATCGATTTCCTTTTAAAAACTTGCTAAACACATCTTGTTGTTGTTTATAAATTGTGATATCTAAAAAACGTTGTATAATGCATAATAAAAATATATCAATCGGATTTTCTAATCGTTATATAATCTTCATTAATGTCTTGAACTTTGAACGTTCAATAATGCGAAACGAGAAACGGGCGGTTGTGATAAACTGAAAAAATCTTTTATAAAGAAACTTTTGACTGAAATTCTAAAATCTCGGTCGTTGTAACTAAATAATATCTAAAATTAACGATTAAATAGAAATAGAATGACAGTGAACAAGACTTAATACTAATCGAATTCCGAATTAATTGATCTATATTTTGCTTTTTAAAAGACCGCAAATTAATGCAAACGCTATTACCAAAATGTGATCACATTGAAGAAAGATCTGCACAACAATGTCTTGAATAAACAATAACATTCTAATAACATTTACATATTATCTTTGATTCGCCGATTCTCTCATGTGTAATCTGATTAAAAAATAATCAAATATTAAACTTTTTAAGCTTATTGATCCATCTGATATTCTTGCAAAAATCTGACTTTAGACTATATTTAATATCTAACCACCAATGCATGAATTGTTTTCGCGATGTTTTCATTTGAGTATCTTGTTCATCGCTAAAATAAAAAATATAAAACCGTTGAAAAAATTTACTAACACGCTCAAGCGAAACAAAAACGCGAAACTTCTTTTCTTGAAAGAGAGAATAAATGTCTAAAATACTAATTAAAAATTGTGTTATTTCACTATTTAAAAGTTCGAAAAAATCATCTGATTAAAGAAGGTCAAAATCAATAAAAGATTTAGCAAATTGAAATGCTTTATATTGACTATTAAAAATTTGAGATTGAGATATAATAACAAACTATCTATAAATGTCAAACAAAAGATTTACAAAAAAAGTTAAAATTAAAAAAATAATAAAATCAAAGATAAACAATATCGCGAACACGATTTCGACGTGCTAAAAAACGATATTACGTGTTAATTGAATAAATACTCAATATTGTGAAAAAATTTTAAATAATCGACTTAATATCGTGCGAATATCGTGCGAATATCATGCGAATATTTGTTAAATATCATACGATATCCAACAAATATCCGCATATCTATAACAATCAAAAACTTTAAAGTCCGTCAAATGAAAAAAGAATCCGAAATTTCTCTATAAATTTATATAATATTATAATAATTAAATAAAATAATTATATTGATCAGACATCTCCCTATCTTCTAATATTATATCCGAACGGAATAGTGCATTTTCTATAGAATTATATTATCTTATAAATGTTTGACAGAAAATAAACTGACTTCGTTCTATATAGAATATATACTTCCGCAATAATATCATAAATAAAGAAATAAACTTAAGATTACCAGTAACTATAACGCATTAATCTAATATCTCGGGTTTAGCAAAACAAATTGATATTACTTATTTTTTAATACAAATATGTTTCTTATTATTTCATTAAAAAAATAAAAGAATCTCCTAAAAAATATTAGTATAACCAAAACACATATATACTAACATTAAAACAAATGTGTGTCAGCGACATAATAATCACATAATAATCTATAATAAAATAAACTAACGAAATTTATGCAAGTGCGAATATTTGTTGAATATCCAAATATCCATTGAATATCCATTGGATATCCGCAAGTTGGACTTGGATATCTGACCGATATCCAACATCCGCAATTTGCGGACTTGGATATGGAAGTGATATCCAAGTCGGCGGATATGCCACAGCCTAATTGGTTCTGGGGGGCATTCCAACTTTACGGCTTTTATGAAATCAATTGATTGGCCTTTTTGAAATAGCAACACAAAGCCGACAAAGATCAGACTTGCAGCTTTGAGTTTCCGGGGCCAAACAAGATTTTTTCTCCAGATACTATGTATGATTCATATGAACGTGTTGATAGTAAGATTCTTAGCTAGAATTCAGAGTGTAGAAAAAACCCGAGTGTACACCTGTAGGGCGGGTAGTCCGGGCGTCGGTAGAGACCATTTGGGCACCCCATCAGAATGCTCCCATCTGGAGTTCTTCGCCTTAGCAGATCATACTCTTTTAATTCCCTCTGTTGAAAGAAGGTGTCGAGTAAGGTCGAGTTTGTAAGTAAAGAAGATAGATATTGCTTGATTTGTTCAATATTCTAGGTGCGGCTAGATGAGGTTTTCGTTGTGGTCGGCTAGTTCTTGGCACCTCAGCCACTGCCACGTGACATATCAGCCACACAGCCTACGCCACAGTTGCCCATATTCAACCCCCTCTGGGGATTTACCTTTAGTTCTTTCGTGGAGAATGGGTTCAATTCGATGGGAATATACAGTAACATAACTGGAAAGTGCACCTGAATCTATCGAGAACCGCCGGACGACGATCAGAGATAACATGTGGGAATATCCCTGTGCCCATTAAAGAATGGCAAAGAGGTTGGAATAGCATAGCACCTACGAGGTGGCACCCAGTTCATTATCCGCATTATCTGCCGGAAATATAAGAAATGCCATCCAGTCAGAACCAGCAATCATCCAAGCCAAGGACCACGGACAAGGTAGCGCCGCGTTGCACGCCTATTCGGTACCACTTAAATCGGGCAACAAAGGCGAAACACGGACTGAACGGCAGAAAGCGGCTCCATCTTTTGTCGGCGGCCTTTTGTAAGGAACAAATAAACGGTGCCGGAGCAGTCCGAGCCCTGATTGAGGTCGAGTCTTTGTTATATGGGGTGCGTTCGACCAGAGGCACTCGAGGGCCGGGACTATAAATTGGCTCGATTCCGCAACGAGATCGCCATGCCTACCAAATACCAACAATTATCTCACCATTCACATTCAGATTTCTATTAACATGGCTGAAGTTACATTTCCTGCTTATCCGGGCCCCGAGCTCGAGGCGTACGTCTCACGGCTTCTAGAGGAAGCCGGAGTTCCCTGCTTCCTCTGGGGCGAGTCGGTTTTGCAGATTCTCCGTGTTCCAACCGTTGATTTTGTATGACACAGTCCCCCCATCGTTTATTGACTGACGACTAACTATTTCACAGTTCTCCGCATGGGTTGTGCCCGACAATTGCATCGAACAGGCGGTGCGCGCTCTTGATGCGGCGAAGTTCCCGCCGTGTATACAGGGTGAAGAATGCTCTTTATTCTGGAAACACCGAAGCCACCCTATACCTGACCACCACTATCACACGGACCTGACATATCCGGAAATGCCAGATCTTACGTGTGGCGTGTATCTGTACAAGAAATCCCGACTGTTCTGGTCCATTCCCGATCCCGTTATTGGCCCGCCGGCACCCGATGACCCGTATGATATGCTCTCGTCTGACACTCGTCTTCGTGCGGGAGGTATAGCGACCCGAGGTCGCTCTCCAGCCGGTAAATATCCCGTTAAAATAATAATACCTGCGAGATATATCGTGTGCATGCTCTTGTTGAAGTTGCGAGACTGGGTGTCAAAGATCACTGCTGGTCATTGGTTCGTGGAGCTGAGCTATCTAATGGAGTATGTTATTCACAAAGAAGACAACCCGGCCTTGAGGCTTGATGACATCGCGGAACCCTGGAGAGAGTATTTCAGGCAGAGGTCGGTGGACGTGCCGCTCGATGAAACTGGGCGCTATGACCTGAACTATATGGATGAACATGATATCGATTTCGGTCACAAACAGTTTCTTCGGTTGTATGTGATGCTGAAGAGCAGTGGCCAGCTTCCTCTACCGGAGCCGGGTAGAGACGAGTCCTCGGGCCCTTTTCCTGTTGAGCAGGAGTTGCGCGAGAAAGGTATCCCATTTGACCCTAAGATATTCGAATGAATACGCTCGATTAAATCGCATGGACTAGCGGTAAATTGACTACATAACATCGCATCTCCCAGCTCTCCTGCGATACCTCAAACTGCGTTTTTCTGACTTTTCACTTTTTGTGTTTGCCCTTTTTTATGTCCACGCTCGCCTTGGCAGTGCCTGCTGCAAACAATGTCACATCCCGGTTTCCAGCGTCTTTCTGTGTTTTTCTGTCTCGTTAGTCGTTTCTATTTTAGTCTGTCGTACTCATTTATGATGTTCCTTGCGTTATTGCTTTCTTTTTACCATTCCCTAATATTCCATGTCTCTGACCAAACTTCCCGCAGGCCACTTCGTAAGGCCAACGTTGAATGTCATCCCTGTCTATCATCTCCGATAGCTAAGCCCCTGGTCGCTGCTCTACCCCGTCTACACTCAGCCAGTAGAGGGCCGTTTTAGAACTGCGTGGTCCCATATCTCGACCATTCCGATTCGCTGCCCCGTCAATACGGAGGTAAGCGGACAAACGGCTCGGTTGCTGCAGACATCTCCCTTGTCCCTACGTATTCCAACGCCGTCAACATGGTTCAAGGTTTGGTCAAACTTTATTATGATGGCTTTTACAAGACCCACAGACCCCGTCAGCAACTGCCGTCCATACCAGGGCTCTCACTACGGAGGGGATGCATGTGTAGGAATAGTCCTTTGCTGGTATGGGACCTATAGTTCGTTCTCTCTTCGCACCTCCCTACATCCTCGTAGATGGCGAGTCCATGGACTTCCGGCACTCCGTTATGGAATTCGTAGCATCCGTGCCCAAGTTCAAAGTTGGCCAGAAACGATGGCTGGCCGTAAGGGCTGGTGAGACATAAGCCCGATGTGTGGTACCTGTTTCACCGAACCACCCATCAGTGCCTGGTGTCTGGAGGCTTCTAGAAGACTCCCCGATTGAGGTGTGGTGGTGTTGGCTGCATGAGGTTACCAGAGCTTTCGTCATGCCATTGGCTATGTCATGATGTTTCTCTTCGTGCACCTCCATCCCATTGCCCAACTGCTAAACCTTCTGGCCTCACCGGTCTTTCTCCGCTTTACGTTGAGGTATGTGTTCCAAGACGCGATTTCGCCCTGAGATGCAAGCAATGGTTAACTGATCCAGCAGACTTGAACAAGCTGGTTTTGCCGTTTTCTTTGATACCCCGGAAGGACATATGTCACTGCCTTCAACATCTTCTGATCACGTCTACCGCGAAAGCTCTCTCCTTCGTCAACTGAGTTCCTCGCGTACATGCGCCCCTTAACCTTCTTTCGATTGCCCCTGGTGGATCTAGGAGCCGACGCCCGGTCGTATCTTTTGTCCTCTTGCGAAAGTCTAATGCAGACATCATATTATTCCCATTGCCAGCCCGTTTGACCCTCAGCCTTCCCACCCGGTGAAACCTGCCCCTAGATAGTCAAGATTGGGCAAGCCCGTAAGCCACATCGTGATGCCCATTACATCGATATGGTCGCGTGGATGATGTTGAAACACCACGGAGCTTGTCTAGATGCATTTGCCGGATTGCGCAAGCGTACATTCGCTTGCCAAAGAGCGTGCATAAAAGCGAGAAGGGACCCCTTCTTCTCTCCTTCTACCTTCCATTCCAACACAGACTCTTCAATCTTGTCTACTTTCATCCCACAGTCATTGTCGATCGTACTCTTTCTGATCCATCCTCCCACTCACTCCGATCTTCTTCACCCAAAATGGTTGCCTTAGCCATTCTTCACAACGTTGCATCCACCTTCGTGGATGTTCTCCAAAGGACCCCGGCCTTGGCGGATATCGAAGGTTTTGACAGGATTGAATTGGTGCTAATAGGCGGCGTCGCTGTATGCACGCGCACACGGCACAGAGAAACGAGCGTATGGTAAGCAGAATACTAATCTGGAATCTAGGACGTGGACTTCGCCATATATCCGCCGACGCTCGGCCCTCCTGTGAAATGCGCGCTCCTGGAGGCACACCCAGGCCTCTTTCACACCATCGGCGACCAATTTCTGTTGAGAACGGGGCAAAACAGTGTCCAAATTGATATGGTTCCCGTCGATGCCGTAAGTCCGCTTGAAGTGCCACGGCTTTTCCTCTCTGACAATCTTTCTGCTCCAGCTGTCCTTCCGGCCATCCTCCCTCAGCCCGCTAAGCGCCATGAACCCACAACTCATTCCACATCTGTCCGCCACAGATTTGATAATTTCCAAGGCCATCTGTTGCGGGGGCAGAGGGAGCTGGAGGAAGAACGCTCAAGACGCAAATGACGTTTGGGAGGTGATTGGCAGGAGTCCGGTGATTGCCCCGGGGGTTCTATCGCCGAATCAATGCGCAATGCTTCGCGCCCAGTGCGTCGATCTCATACGGTATGCCCCCAAGCATGCTTGGGCCGACGTTCTCCCCTAAGATCGTCGCCCAAAGCGGTGTTTTAGACGGGGTATGATGTTTCGAGTCCTTCTTTTTTTTCCTTGTTCTTTTCCTTTTCTCTCGATAGATGGCTCTGCTTTTCTTCTTGGGTACTCGTGCTATGGTTGGAGGAAATGTTTGGTAGAATGTACTTTGTTTGGTCGCAATGCTTTGTTTTGCCTCCTTTTCGGTTTTCGTCTCTTTTGATAGATGGTTTTCCTTTTGATCTTGGGTGTCGGTGCTGGAAGGCCTTGGTAGAATGTACTTTGTGTGGTCGCAACGTGGTGTTATTACTCTGTTTCTTCTCCGCCCTGGTCAACGATGCATCGATTGTAGGCCTGTAGCAGCGTACCTCCCCTGTAGACTGGCAGCAGCCAGAATCGTGTTGTCCTTCGAAAGAATATGACTTCGTCCCAGAGAGGTAAGAGTAGACAGTGCGTGATAGCATGAAAGTCATCAATGAGTAGGGCGCCGTGCCTGCTAGATTGTGGAGCGCAATTCCTGTGCATCGACATCCGTCACTTATTCTCTTCATTCACGAATCTGAGGACCGTCAGATGCCCGAGAGAATAGGGGCTGTAGTTGTCTCAGTTGCGACCACGTCACTGACGGCGGGGTTGAGCGACGATCATCGGAAGAGCAGCTCATCTCGCCCTCGTCTCCCCGCCGTCAACAAGAGCCTTTCCTACTTCCTTCCATTTCGACACCTGATAGGAGTCAGCAAAAACACCGCCCACAGCATGCCCGCCTACCCCCGACCGGACTTCGACCGTCCCTCACTCAACTGGACCTCCTTGGACGGTCCCTGGGACTTCATCTTTGACGATGGCGACATCGGCCTGTCGCAGCGCTGGCACCAGAACGGAATCGCCGCGAACCTCCTCGAGCAATCGAAGCGCCAGATTCAGGTCCCGTATGCCTTTCAAACCCCTGCGTCGGGCATAGGTCTCTACGAGGCCCACGAAGTGCTCTGGTATGAGCGCCGCATCCACGATATCCGCACACCCGATGAACGCGCCGCCGATCACCGATTGCTGCTACGCTTCGGCGCCGTGGATTACGACTGTGCCGTTTGGGTCGACGGTCGCGCGTTCGGAGGGCACCGTGGGGGCCACGTTCCCTTCGACGTCGACGTGACCGATGCGTTTGCGACCGTGGACGATGCATCTCGGCGCCTGACGCTGCGGGTGAGGGACTCCTCGTATGACCTCACTCAGCCGCGCGGAAAGCAGTACTGGGGCCCCGTGCCGCAGGAGATCTTCTACACGCCGTCCAGCGGCATCTGGCAGTCTGTTTGGCTGGAAAGTGTGCCGCGTTGGAGATTGGGGAATAGCAGCGAAGGGACGGTGCTGGGATCGGATGATATCGATGGCGGCCGGCTTCATGCGCGTGTGGCTGTAGTGGGTCGTCCGGCTTTGAACGAGGGATCGGTCGAGATTGAAGCCACATTGGCCGGCGTCGCGGTGAGTAAGAGCATGGTAAAACTGCCCCGCGAGAAAGATTGGGTTGCTTTAGACGTCGATATGCACGTTCCCGATGCCGGCACGCTGCAGACCCGCGCGCCTTTCAACGTGCCTGGAAGCTGGCGCAACGGCGTCGCTCTGTGGGCTCCCGAGCATCCAATCCTCTACGACCTGACCATCCGCCTGTATGATGCCCAGGGAAGTCTGCTCGACGACGTTCGAACTACCGCCGGCATGCGCCGCGTTTCCTGGCAAACCGGAGACGGCACCTTCCGATTGAACGACAACCCGATTTTCCAGACCCTCGTGCTCGACCAGGGATATTGGCCCGAAACCGGCCTAACTCCTCCATCGCAAGAGGCACTGCGAGCGGACATTGAAATGGCGCTCAAAATGGGTATCAACGGGTGCCGGAAGCACCAGAAAGTTGAAGATCCGGTCTTCTACTACTGGGCCGATCGACTGGGATTCTTGGTCTGGGGCGAGATCGCCAACGCCTACGAGTTCAGCGACGAATACATATCCCGGTATAACAGCGAGTGGGCGGAGGCCGTGAAAAGAGACATCAACCATCCCAGCATCGTGGCTTGGACGCCCTTCAACGAAAGCTGGGCCTATACCTCGTTGAAGGATAACATTGAACAGCGGAACCATATCCGCTCGGTATACTACTTGACCAAGTTCGATTTAGTCCTTCCTTTTTCCATTCTTTGATTATTGCTAACAATGGAATAGAGCTCTGGACCCAACTCGCCCCATCAATGACAACTGCGGCTGGGAACACGTCCAAACCGATCTCACAACCTACCATGACTATTCCGACTTTCCCGCCCTCACCGCGACCAGCGCAAATTTCGAGAACGGCATCCTCGCCCAGAAATCCAACCGGGACATGTTCGTCAAGCCGATCACATCCGGCTCTGTGGTCCTTGACCCAGGTACCCAGCATAAACCCGGCGCGCCGGTCATCTGCTCGGAGTTCGGCGGTGTCAACATCATCCCGTCCAAGGGCACGGCTGCAGGCGATCGAGATTGGGGTTATACCACGGCCAGCGACCCGGAGGATCTGCTGAGCCGCCTTGAGAAGCTGGTCATGGGCGTTGTGAAGGGAGGGCATATCTGTGGGATGGTATATACGCAATTGTAGGCTCCTCTTCCCTCGGTTTTGAGACTGACGACTTTTGGATGCTATGGAGAATGCTAATTGAGAATAGGTGTGACATTGAGCAAGAGGTCAATGGGCTCTACTCGTATGATCGGAAGGAGAAGGTCCCCGCTCACAGGGTCAAAGCAATCATGGATGCCGCTCATAAGTACTACTTTGATCATGTAGCGCCAAAATAAAGTTCTGTAGCTAGGTTTGCACGATCGGCCGGAAGGTTCATCATACTTGCCGCTAGAATATCAATGCGATAGAGTTCCTCAACAAAAGCGATGCGATCAATCATGGTCGTTGATAATTTACTTCTCTGCTATGGTTTGTTCGATACATTGATCTACGGCATCGAAACAGTAGCAGGCAAAGGCCAATGGTTGATCTCTGAAAATAGCCGCGGCTCGAATAGGTATAATCATACAAGGTTATTGGAAATCTAATTGATTAATCAATTGTTTGCTTCACCATTTTCCATGTGTGATGCTGAATTCTGTAATTGCTTGGCTGGTCCACAGAGTGTATGTCATGCTGAACTAGCTAGGAGTTAATCTGTTGTGTAAAGACCAGGCCATGGCGAAGGAACAGGGAGAGAGGAGAAAGAACAGGGCTAACTCGCCATGCTTATACCATGAGCAACTTCCGGTCAGCCTTTCGCTGTCGCTGCTACTATCGGTGTAAGAAGGCTCAGTACGGTACTTTGGACTTTGGGTTCGATTCGGAGTAAGCACTAAGATCCCTGCTGCATACACTAGGGCCAGGTACCCCTCACGCTATTTATTCCCCAGGCGCTTCTTCCCACAAAATATCCCCTCCGTACCAACGCCACTGAAGTCTCTGAGTTGTTTATCTCCCGAACCTCACCCGTGCATTCCATAAGTGTACTTCTCGACGCTATGCAAGAGCATCAACTGTCCTTCCATCTTTCACTGCCCAGCCCGCACCTTCCTGCATGGCTCCCGCTTATTTGCTATGCGCTTTGCCTGGCGACAACTACTTATACCCTTGGGGTCTCTCAACAGCTGCTGGTTTTGCTAGAAGGGGCCTCATCCATTATAGTATGTTCCATCAGTGGTGTTGACAATTCTCCATTTATTGAATGAAATCTCACAATTGAATTCATCACTCTGAATCAGAGCAATGAACTGAGAATAGTCACGGGCATCTCAATTTATCTTTCTTCGGCAGTCTATTGGACTCTGATGCTTGCGCATTTCTTGGTCTTCACCTTCCTTGTGTGGACTTCAGCTACCTCTGGCAGACATTCTGCGGATCCCAACTCTGAACCAGCGAGCAATGAATCTCAAGATTCATCCACAATCACAACAAATGATGTCAAGAGCTTCGCTCCAGAAAGCCATCATAACGACACGCACTTGGTTACAGGTCTACCGACTACAATACAAGATGGCAAGCACACTTTAGCTCATATAAGCGGGCCTCTACAAGACCATGACGAGAACATGGAGCCCTACTCGCCACAATGCTGCATTCCAAGAAAGGCCTTGTTAGCGTCCCTGAGAGAAGATAATCTATCGATGTTCCCAATGGGCGTGTCTCCGCATTTTCCTTTAGTTTCTCCGAGCGTCAGGTCAGCGCTGCGCCAGCAAAAAAATCTACCAAGTGGCTCAGTTCATCACCGAAATGACCAACGGTGACACCGCAGGGATTTACAAGCAGCTCCTTGGTTATCTCATCATCCATGATCTGCACATCAGCCTGGGCCTTTTTCTCGAAAAGGTTCGCCACAGAGATGTATACCTGGTTAGATACCGGCCGGACATTGGAAAATACATCCGATTTGCGTTGGAAGCTGACTTCCATGACACTATCGGAATACTCAACAAACATTTGCCGGGTATGACTCAAGCATGCATTGAAGCATATGCGGAAGATGCTGTCATGATGGACTCGGTTTCTCGTCTGAAGTCCGTTTGGCAGTATCTGACGAAGGACCAATATTTCATCAGACGAATTATCCTTCGTTCGGCGTCAAATAACAGCACGGGCGCTTTACGTCTCCTTGAAAAGAATCTCTCCATTGGCCAGACAGATCTTCAATACCTATTGTTGGCTGCCATCAGAAACAAGTCCGAAGCCCTGGTACGTCATTGGCTGGATCGTGGTGCCAAAACTAGACTCCAGGAACAGTCCGAGGTACCATCATGGGCCGCCGCGAGATGTGGAAATGCTGCGATAATGTCAATGCTACTGGATACAGATGATGAGCCATTTCACAATAGTTCGGTGAGCGATAGATTGTTAGGAGTGGCCCTGGAGGCCCGGAATCTTTCTGTCGTCGATGTCCTTGTTTATGCCGGTGCCGACGAGCTCTCGGTTCCGCTTGAAACCGCCGTGACAGCCGGTCACGCAAACCTCGTCGACAAAATACTAATCCATCAGGCAAAGAACAAGGACTGGATCCCGCCTGCGCCCTTACTTCAATTGGCCTGTGTGAATGGACACTTGGAAATTGCTCGGGCCCTGATCAATCACGGCAGTAAACTCGACCCGAGGATTCCAATGGCTCTAGGTGGCGGGAACAGTCCACTTATGGGAGCCGTCAGCAGCAACCATCCGGATATTGTCGAATATTTGATATCTCGTGGGGCCTCGTTTGACGCGTCAGGGGTATTTGGCAATGCACTACAGACAGCCGCATATTGGAACTATCATGATGTGGCTGTTGTCTTGCTTCAAAATAACTTCGATGTCGATGCACGGGCCGAACCCCTGCCATCAGCACTAGCTATTGCACTGCGAAGAGGAAATTTGGATATAGTCACATTGTTGTTGCAGCATCGCGCTTCAACGAAAGACCTGGAGTCTTATGACAGATTACTGTGCGGGTATCGAGTTTGTTCCTAGGGGTGTCGGAAATACCTTGGAGCGCCCTTGTCCTTTTCTACTCTTTTTCTACAGTTCGAGCACAGTTAGTCTAAGGAGAAATGGTCTCCAGGTTTCTCTTGTTACATGATTTGAGTAGGGTCATGTTCAGTCACTCAAACACTACTATACAATTTTGGGTGGAATGCTCGAAGCACTTGTTTCACCATCCACTAGACTAAGTCGGCTAGAGATTTTTGTTTTCTTGTGAGACCTAGATCAATGCACCAAGATTTGCTCAATTCAGGTGTGCTCCTATTGTTGCATATCACGCAAAGTCAGCCTTATTTCTCCTGTTCAATATATTGGATAACTCAATGCCAGTGATGACACTCAATGTCCTGCTAAATGTTATTCAGAGATCCACTCACGGAAGATGGATAGCCGATATAATGAGGCAATCTTTCAAAGAGCGCCTCGCTAAGATAGCTCTATTGGCTTAGGTGGGACGAGTGGCTTCATCCATGAATATTATGATCATTCTTGTCCCCATTCCCGTTCTTTCCAAATAATTTGCTAATTATCTGTACCTCGCATGATCACAACCTTTATAGAACAGTTGTTCGTATTAACAGTAGCTCGGATGCATAAGTTGCAAACTGCCAAGCAATTCAATCACTCTTCAATGGCCCTCTTACGTATATTACACCAGGGTACACATTCTCTACCTGGATACATCGGGCCCCTACCTGGCTGTAGTTTGAATGGGCTGATAATGTTCCTTGCTGTCGTTATTTAAACCACTGCTGTGACTCCACTATCATTGTATGCACAGAACGGTAGTGTTCGATTGATATATCTTGCCAAACACTCCCTCACTCATATATCACCTTTTGTGGAAGCAATCACGCACTGGCGATTGATTTAACATTACGCCCGGAAAGAACGAAAATCTCAGAAAGGTCCTTGGCAGTGTGACCATTTTTTGGATGGATTGAGGAGAAGTGGAGGTATAATCCTTTTCGACTTTCACAGCAAAGGTGCTGCTACACGTCCCGACTCCCAGACTGCCTCAGGCGCCAACCTCTTAGTAAGACAGAGTCCCTCATTTATTACCTACTTTCCATCCTCTCTCATTTTGGCATTTTATTCACGCTCATTTAATCGATCGAACCCAGGGAAGAAGGCTTCTTTTTGATTACAACTCGCCATCCATCATGAGACAGCTCAAGGAATCAATCTCTTCCACCACTGACGGACCCATGCCCTGTCGGTGTTGTCTACAGATCTTATCATGTGGAACAGTGATTTTTAATCTATTCAGGTCACGTTCAAAGTAGCGCATAGTTGGCCATTTAGACTGCTGAAAGAGCTTGCACAAATATCCATTGTTCAACATTTCGTTCCCCAACAACGCGTTCACGAGGATGGCAAAACACAAGCAAGAAGCCTTAATCATGATACCACTGTAAGAGGGTGTATGGTCACAATATAGTCTATTACTTATCGAATGAAAACTCAACCAACTGAGCGTACTTTCCAATCTGGCTTCGGCCGTGCTCTATATGCCACCAATTCCGCTCTTGTTGTGAACATACTCCAAGCAAATATCGAGCCATCCTTCGACATCTGCGTAGAACCCGCTCTCAGGTGAGCATTTTGGTTTGGTATTGATGTTACAACGTGTTAGGTTACAAGGTGGGAAGCATTTGAGAGATAAATGGCTACCCCTGCATTAGACTGTGTCATTGGCCCCATTGTTGGGTTTGGTGTCACCCACATAGTTACGTCCCGGAGTACCACGGGAAAGATGAATGGTATTGTAATCCAGCCGAGGTTAATGAGTTGTTTGCGATGTTTCCTCTGGGTGGCGTGAAGGCCTGGATCCTGGTTGTTTCATTGGGATTGTCTATTACGTATACCCTTGTTCATGGAAGATGTTGAAGCCATTCAGCGCACGAAGGATTGCCCATACACCTTAGAGGATGGGTGCGTTTACGAGGATTTTACCCAATCGCTTATCAAGATGTTGAACGTGGCGGTGTTTTCCTGGAGACTCCATTAATATGATGTGACGGGGCAGGAAGATTCTCGAAGTGCGCACGGATGGGCTGCAAGAGATCTAAGCGCACTAAATGCGTAAGGGCAGGAAGCTACTGTCGTAGTCCTCGAATTGCGTCGTAGCCATTAATCAGTCGAGTTGGTCGTATTACTCTATATGGAGCAGATTACAGTAGTCTACTGAGTAGTCTACGGAGTATACATGGTTTAGTTATGCAATGCCAAGACCCGGTGCGGTTAGGGCACGCCGGGGGGCAGCCGAGCTGACGAATCCTCCCTCGGGACTTTTCGTTAGCGCCGCATTCCGGTTCTTCCGCTCGGCTTCTTTCTTGCTTGTGTAGGACTCCTTTGGTGCGATTCCACCTTGTCTGGTATGGTTATTATCTGTGCTGTGGTCTGTTAATACACATAGACTCAGTGATGGGCATCTCCTCTACCCCTCACATCTCGGGAAGATCAGATATTCATGTATATCGGCAACGGAAATCCCCCAAGCACCCGCCAGAGCCTCGGAGGAGATTCGCCCTGCCAAGCATCTGCTGCGTACGTGCAGACGTGGGAATACGTATGCCCTGCGCCTACCGCCAGGCACAACCGGGAAAAGATCGTCTCTTCTGCCACAACGCCTCCTGCTTCCCCCACAGCCGCCGAGAAAGTTCCGCAAATCACAGCGGATGTATTCCTCATTGCGCAGCCACCAAGCCACCGATGGTTTCTGGATGATGAAGCTTGGCCCACGGAGAATTCAGCCCTTTTTCGCGATAACTGATAAGGTTAATGAGTTTAATATTGACGCCTAGCGGGACCTCCACCAGTCCACTCAGTCTCAGACTCTAAGGCCTTTAAGCCCCCGACTAACTCGTTAAACTGGGATAACCTTTCCTACTAAGCCTCCTAGGGCTCGGAAAACCCGGGCTAGGCCCCAAACTTGCTTCGCATCTATCATTTTAGAAACTGACTAACGCCCCTCCGTCGTTGTTTTTAGTCGTCGCGTCGTCATCTGATGATGATCCCTTTCCTAATCGTGCCTAGAGGCCTTCTAAGCGACGGAGTGCACCTCGACTCCTTTGCCGGGGTTGATACCTTGATGATCAATCTTGACGCTCTCATTTGGTGGTCGAGATGGGGCTCGTGGCTGTCCTGAATACGCCAGCCGATGAGTTTGTTTATTCTTAGCTTCTGACCTTGATCAGAAAATCGTAGATATAAAAGACCCCTTCACTTGCAGTTATCCAACTTGATAGCATAAACATTCTCATCACTCATTCTCTTGCATATCATTCCCTCTCCTTCTCTATAGCATCATGGTTCACCTGGCTTCCACTCTCGTTGCTGGTCTGGCTGGTCTGGCCAGCATCGCCTCCGCTCATCCCGGCCATGACCATAAGGCCGAGGCTGCTCAGCGTGCGGCTTTCATGAAGCGCGCTCCCGTCCACTCTCGCAGCCTGGACCAGTGTGCCGATAAGCTTCGTGCTCGTGGCCAGGAGAAGAAGAACGTCGCTCGCCGCGATCGTCTGGTTCAGGAACTGCGTGCCAAGAAGGGCGTGCAAGCTCGTATGTTTACTGTTCAGATCATAGCTCGTGAGAAGATCAAATCCTAATATGATTCTTCCACACAGGTGCTCCCTTCCTCAAGGCCCGTGATCTCGACACTGTCTTGAACACCACTCACCACTCCTCCCTGGACGTTAATCTCTCCACCGATCCCGAGGTTCTCTTCGCTTCCAACGCCACTTGCATCCTCGGTCCCGATGTGACCCAGGGCCCTTACTGTATGCACCTTCGATCCAGCATTTGTTCTCTACATACTAACGATATTAGATGTTACCGGTGAAATGATCCGCAGCAACCTCGTTGAGGATCAGGAGGGTGTTCCTCTCTACATGGACATCCAGATGATCGATACCAACACCTGCGAGCCCGTCCCCGAGGTCTACGTTGACTTCTGGCACTGCAACGCCACTGTAAGTGCCTTCTCTTCATCTCATCATCAACTCCGCTAATAAAACCTAGGGTGTCTACTCCGGTATCGCCGCGAGCGGCAACGGTAACTCCGACGACACCACCAACCTCGACGCTACCTTCTTGCGCGGTCTGCAGAAAACCGACAAGGACGGTATCCTTCAGTTCCAGACCATCTTCCCTGGTCACTACACCAGCCGTGCTACTCACATCCACGGTAAGCCAGTCATCCCACTGAATCCCTTCGCCGAAAATGCTTTTCCAGCCGCTAACACAACGTCCAGTCCTCTCTCACCCTGCCAACGAAACCACCGTCAACCACAACAACAACACCATCAGCGGTCTCTACACCTCCTCGTCCTCCTATGTCGGCCAGCTCTTCTTCGACCAGGATCTGATCTCCAAGGTCGAGGAGACCGCCCCCTACAACACCAACACCCAGGAACTGACCACCAACGCCGAAGACAGCATCCTGTCCGAGGAGGCCGACACCATCGACCCCTTCGTCGAGTACGTCTTCCTGGGTGACGACGTCTCCGACGGTATCTTCTCCTGGATCTCTCTTGGCTTTGACCCCACTGCCAGCACCGATGTCACCCCTGCCGCTTACCTGACCGAGGAGGGTGGTATTGAGAACGAGAACTCTGGTATGGGTATGGGTGGTGGTGGCGGTGAGCCTCCCAGCGGCTCCGGTGCCCCCGCTGCTCCTTCGTCCTCTGCTAGCGCTTAAGTTTGAGACTTGGGATTGAGAGGGGGTTGCTGTTTGCATAAATTGTATAGTATTTGGCACTAATGTGTCTGGTTTCTGCGATGTCGTGGACTTTCTGTTCTGGATTCTCTCGTTTTGGCAAAGGTCCTCAGGAGCTTGCTCTCTGACCTTCCATGTTACCGGTTAACCGCTTGGTGGGTGCTAACTTGGGACCTACCTGGTGATTATAGAAGTCTTAAAATATAGTCATTAAAGCTATTTCTTGCATTTCGCTCTAGTCTTTGTATGCTAAATATCAAATGAAAACGGTAGTCGTGAGAGGTTCCCCCTAATTCTTAACGTCTAGATACAACTCTATTCGCGTGTCAACTCGTTCGACCCGAATTCCTGCTTCTTCCACTGCTCATTCGAGGTACTCACTAGGGATAACACCAGCAGCGGCCAGCCGCTCAAACGCAATCCTATACGCCTCAACAGTGTCAATGAACTCGGTGAACCCCACCGCCCGCGCACGCGACAAATCATACCAACGATCAAAATCAAAATCAACCAGCATAAGGTGAGTGTGCGCCCAACCCTGAACATAAATGGAGTCCTTGCGGAGCGAGAACTCCTCGCAAACAGCATTCCATGAAGAACGGTTCGCCTTGACAAATTTCTCCATCGACTGCTGGTGCTGGTCACCGTCACGAGGACCAACTCCCACCAAGCTGAACTGGCGACAAATACCCGGCCACACGGTTGCCCATGTGATCGGTTCGTCTTCATCTGCCACGTTAAACGCTGGCCCATTTTCACGAACATCGTCTTTCAGCGCCACGTAGATCTCCTAATCGCCAAGTACTCGATGCTTAAAATCATATGTCATTGTTAGTGCAGGTTCTAAAACATTAATTCAGGAAACGTCCTGTTTTTGCTAATTAGTTAACTTGGGATGAGTTTTGAAGATAGCGGAAAACTACTGGGTCAGGTTAGTTCGGCAGATAGATCCAACTGGGAAAAGGCCTTCTTATGGTAAATTTCCACTAGTAGCACGTTTTGCCTGTCCGTCTGGCAGCGCATCACTAGAACGAGAGTGATGACTTGTCGCAACCAGGCATTTGTATGTTCCTCATGCAGTGTACGGCTAAAATCTACATTTGGCCATGCACATACCTCACAGTACACATGAGCTGACATTTTAATATACTAATTCAGCTGTGCTTCCTAAAGTCGGAATCAGTACGGTTTGAATTGGTGGACTGAGAAAGAACATGCACTGGACTTTCTAAGTCAATTACCTTAGCAGCTACCAAATTTGGTTTCTAATTTCTATTATTGTAGATCTTTCTTGTCTCTATTCTCCTCATTCTCGACAGATGATCATACTGCCGCTGAATATTGCGCCAGGGCAGTCAGCAACGTGCACACGATGCAACTTCAACTGGACACCTTTCAGGTTCGCAGAGATCATGCAGTTGTGAGTCAGACATTTCTCTGCGTGTGGGCACTCGATCGACTCAATGCAGCATTTCATTCGCGGCCAATCTTAATGCATGCTCCTGATATTGGGCGTGGCATGACTGCTTCTATCGCTGGCCAACGCGGTTGTTTCCGGGCTCTGCTCATGATGTGCGACTTACTCGATAAAGTCATCCACCTTTACCGCCCATATTATCTCCAAACGAATCAGGAGAACAACAGCCTCGATATCCCCAGCTTTGATGAATTAATAGTTCGCGCCGATGCATCACAGTGTCCAACTCATTTATTATGTAGCTCCCCTTGGTTCCTTCTCTGCGCTTTTGATTAAATCGATGCCTCATCAGCCACCATCGAGCCACTATATCATACAGTTGCCATTTTGTTTCATCGATTCCACTCCCTTGATGATCCAGACCGCTCGTTTATTTCGTACCTGCGCTCTAGCCTGTCTACAGCTCGACTGCTGTATCTCGTCCGGACAAACTCTCTTCAACCGCTCTCCGATTTTCCCTTTGTTCCTTACTCGTTAGCGCTAGCATTGCGCGTCTCCTACAGAGAACTACGACTTAGCAAAACGCCACTTTACCGCTCCCAAGCGCTAGGTCAGGTGCTGCTTCTTTGCACAGTCCTCGAGGAATTCGGAAACAACTACTGTTTCACTAAAAACCTTGCCCGGTTGGCCAGGAAAATCATCTGTGAAATGGATAAGGTTGCCGCTTCGGTACTTCAGGCTCGGCACAAGGACACAGATCATCTTGCTGGCTCTGCTCCCGTTTCAAATTTGACGCACGAAAGTGCACAAGTCGCTCAGTCGTTTGCAGAATCTACCTTTGTCATGCCCGAACATCACGATCCTCCAATCGACGACCCTATTGTCCTTGAAAGCCATGGACAATATGAGCCCCCTCATATACCCGAGTACGAACCCGGGCAGTATGATGCAGAATGGGTTGGGACCAGGTTTTCATGTGACATTGTTTGAAATATATACCTTCATCAAAGGCGAGGTGGCCGAGTGGTTATGGCGTTGGTTTTAGGTTAACTAAACCACCAATGAGAGATCGCGCGGGTTCGAATCCCGTCCTCGTCAATTTTTTTGATTTATTTTTGGATGTTATAACTACCAACTTGGTGTAGTATCTATGTCATGCTTTTTGGTTTAATTATATCTTTAGCTCCAGCATTTCGTGTTGATCAATTGGGTAGAGCTTAGGGCGTTGTTGGGACTAGAATAGTCAACTACGTATGTTGTGTGTTCTTTCCCATGGTCCTCTATATATTCATACCGACATCTACCTTGAATTAAGTTGCGTTATTATCACCCAACTCGAGTACCTAACCCTTGTGTTTGTTTCTCAAGACAAATAGGAACCACATTGTTAACGCAGAATTTTCAACTTTTTTTTTTCTTTTTCTGTTTCAGCTTCTTCACGCAGAGACAGTCATAAACAAGAATGAACAAACACATCAAAAACCGAATCTGAGCAGGCCCTACAGCCACGCACCTCCGTGCGGGAACACAGACGCCAACCCAAGTGTAATACCACAAACTAGGAAGTCAAACACAAGCCACAAGCAAGCAAATGAACGACGAAGCAAATAAGCTTATCTGCATCTCCAATGCCGATCTGCCGATCAAGCAGTCCTTCGTGCTGCACCTCCTCACTGAACCGTATAATTGATCATCTTCGTCATGATCTTCCCCTTCACCCCATCAATCAGAAACGAATCAATCCCATCTTCAACAGTGATATTCTTCTCATCCTTATATCCCCATCTCTCAGTAACCCAACCCCCTTCCTCATCAACCACAGTCCCCTTAATCTTATACTGAGTGCTCGGGAGCTTCGAATTCAACAACCAAGCAGAGTACTTGATCCCCTCATGCGAGATCAGGAACGTATCAAACGTGCCCATCAGCGACAACCGCAACTCAACCGAGTAATTGCGCTGGATATCCAAAGGCACGTCCCCGATATAGCGCAGCAGGATATGTTCCCAGTAGACGTCGCTCACGAGGCGGTTTTCCGGCTCCGGGAGCTGACCTGAGATCAGATACTCGAGGACTTCGGTGCGAGGCTTGCTATCGTCGTGTTTCACGGCGTTGGAGATCAATGTGAACTGACAACGGAGCCACTTCTCGCCCTCGGGGAGTCGTGGGTCGGTGACTGTCACCTTTGGATATTCTTTCACGATGTACTCGGCGATGTAGCGGTGGTTGTTGTCCAGTGCGAGCTTGAAGATGGTGTAGCCGTCGTTGTCGCGCGCTTCCACGTCTGCCTTCTTCGAGAGCAGGTATTTCACTGCTTCGAATTCGCCAGAGACGGTGGCTGCCAACAGGGCGGTGGTGCCGTCCCATCTGCCGTTGACGTCCACGCCGGAGGAGAGCTCTTTCTCGATGGCTTGGATGTCGCCGACACGGGCGGCTTTGATGAGCTGCTCGGCGCTTTTCGCAGGTGCGGTACCTGCGTTGACTCCGCGGGAGGGCTTGATGTAAGTTGGGCCGTTGGATTGACGGATGGTGGACATTTTGGAGAAAGATATGAGTCAAGAGGACTTGAAATAGATTGTTAATGCTTGTCAGTGTTTGTATCTTGTTCAAATGTTTGTTTGGATGGATGGGCAATTCGAGGAATATCATCTCGTCTTTTATAACCAGAGCTTCCTCATAGATTGTGTCGGGTTGCATGGCACGGTATGAAGCTACTGAACCGTCATGAGATCATCGACGACAGTTCTTCATGAGCTACAGATTACAACGGACGTGCCCTACCTGACCCAGACACTACGCCCATTTACCGGTTGCAGCAATTCCAAGAGAGACACAGAAGATGATCCATGTTTCACAGCTCCATGGTTTCAAGAAATCAACGCTTTCGGCTGGAAACGGAGGATCTAGATCCAAATCTCCTGCTCCTACCGGACCAAGTAAGTGGATCATTCTTTGGAAACGTTACAATGGGTGAGTAGAGCTGTGTGGCTAGCTGAGAGAGCCCGAAAGCGTCGAATCTGCGAGAATGATGGTTGATTTGGGGTTGGGACCCGAGTGAAGAAGCGAAAGATGTATGACGCGCTGTTCTGGATTGAAGGCCGGAAACAGAAAAGTGATCTATAGTGGCATATGCCGAGCACTAGCATGAGATGCAACGAAGGGGTTTCTGGGTATAGTGGTGTCCTGCTCTCTGGTACAATGATACAGTGACTCCCGGAGAAGGAAGGAAGAGTAGTCTTGGTTGACGTAGGAGGGATCGCGAGAACGGTGGATACTCAGTATGCTTCTGCTGCAAGGGATGAGCTATGGAACTAGAACGCATGAGCATAGACAATTATGGAAAAAGAGATAGAGAACAGCGTCACTGACTAGAAGCCCAACGTCTTTCGGAGATCGACCCGCTGGATTAGGGAGGCCAGAGGGTTCCATGATGTTTCAAGAACATGGAGCGAGGTTGAATGGATGATGTGTACATTGCTACGGGGTTTGCAATGAAGCCGATGTGGGACGAACTAGACATGGATTCAATAGTGAGCGTTTGGGCCGAACATTGGACTTCTATGGAGTGAGAAAGCTGACGTGAAGGTCTACGCTTGGATTATTGATGAAGCAATCCCGACTGACTACAAGTTGTGCCGTGATCAAGTCTTGCAATGTTACAGATACCATGTCAAACATGCAACAATATCAATAGTATACAAAGATTCTAATCACTATAATCACCTAATACCCAACCTAAGAAGAAACAGGACACAACCGCCCATTATTATTCCACGAATACGGCAACGGGTCCGTTGTCCTCACCTCCCAATCCTCAGCCCCGACAGCCGTCAAGGCAAAGAACAACCCCGTAGGATCATACTTCTGCTTCAACGCATACAACCGCGGATAATGCGAACCGTAAAACGCCTCCTGCAGGTTCGGTTCCAGCAGATCCGCCTCGCTCATGTAGGCGCCCGAATCCGGTGCGATGTCGCGGAGTGTGTCCATCCAGCTTGTGACGAAGTTGGTAGACTCCTTGACGACGGCCCAGCTGGATGTAGAGTTCCATTCCTGGCCGACGATGACGTGTGCGAGGGCGTCGCGCCAGGCGGGCAGGACCGAGGTGTCGGTTGGTGGGTCGACGGCAATACCGGTGCCAGTGATGTGGAAGCCGGCGATGAAGAGACCCTGTGGGATTCGTTAGTGGGGTTATGGACGTGAGGGGTGGAGGTGAAGGAAACATACCTGTTCAACGGCGTCTCTGTGCGCGAGAGCGGTGCGGTTACGGAGGCTGTCGTCTTGGAAGACCTTTCGGGGCATCAGACGGGAAGCGGTTTTCACGACTGCGGTGCCGCCGGCTTCTTGGGGGAAGGCAACCACCCAGGCGTCGTGGCTGGAAGATGTTAGCTGGACTCTACACAATGATAGAAGGGGAGGCGAACAAGTTGTCGGCGTGGTTGTACCACGGGTTGTAGGTGACGTTCAAGCTATTCAGCTTGTTGAACCACGGAGCAAGCAGCTCCTTGGTCTCAGCAACAGTCATGTTCGGAGCGACGAATGACTCCATACGGAAGTAGTAATCGGTGCTACCCTTGTAGTCTGTTCCGATCATGAAGGCCGAAGCACCGACATAGTAGTAGCCGTAAGTGCCAGCGTCGACGAACGTCTCAAAGTGGTCAAAGTAAGACTGAACCGCGGACCAGAAGTATTCCGGTCCAGGGGTGTCACTGACGGTAAAGTTAAATGTAACAGTAGTAGTAGGCAGCTTGGGGTAAGCCTTGATGGTCCAGGACGTGACAACGCCAATGGTGCTGCCACCACCTCCACGAAGCATGTAGAAGATATCGGCATTCTGCTTGGCGGTGGCAGTGACGTAGCGACCGTTAGCCAGAACAACTACAATTCTGTCAGCAAGAACCCAATACGAAGGCCTAGAATAAACATACCTTCAAGAGCGAGGACCTGGTCCGCACCCAGACCGTAAAGACTGCTCAGAGGCGAATGACCACCACCAGCAGTGTACCCACCTCCCAGACCAACAGTGACAGCTTCACCACCAATGACGGTGACATCGTGAGCCTTGGCAAACTCATACGCTTCCCAGACCTGAACACCGGCGCCGACTTTCATGGCGGGACCAACGTAGCCATTGTCGGCCTTGAACTCGGAGTAGAACGCCTTATCCTTGAGCCAGTGGGTCCAGATGGAGAGAGCACCCTTGCCAGATGCCTTTCCATTGAAGTCATGACCAGTGTTCTTCACCACCAGACGCAGGTTAAGGTTACGGGCAAAGTTCACAGCCAACTGGATCTGAGCGACGCTGGAGACATTGACCACGTAAGACGGGTAGGCGCCCATCTTGCAGGTATCGGTGTAGTTGAATCCAGATGCCATGCAGGTACGGCCCTCGTACAGGGGCAACATGATGGAGGTGGGATCACCCATGCTGTGAAGCGTTAATTATAATATCGCTTTAAAGAGTAAACTAGAAACTTACTGTAGGTCAGACGATGTCCATTGCGACGCAAGATCGGTACACTTGTCGGCATCGTACTCAGGCCAGTCAGGATAACAGACGGCAGCGAGAGGTGATGCTTTGATCAGCCGTCCGCCGAGGAGGAGATCGAAAATGTCCCAGACCAGGTCAAGTGGCCACCAGAAGTCACCCGGCATGAGCTTGCAGCTGTGTCGAGCACTTCGCTTGGAGACACTAGAGTTCGACGAGCTGTCTGCAAACACAAACATGTTTGAGAGCGTCTCATTCTTCAGAGTGGCCGCCACATCATCCAAACATTCGTCGGTCAATTGGACGGTCTCACTGCTGAAGAGAGACGGGGCAGCCGTGGCACTGGTCGTAACAGTAGTCGCGGCCGGAGTCAGAGACGCAATAGCCGTCGTGCCTTGGGCGTAGGCTGATGCTATCACCGAAGTGGTGAGCACGCTGGCAAGAGCACCCTTCATCTTGTCTACCGAGAAGATCTCTCGCAAGACAGCTACCACAGGGGTTGAATAAGTTGTAAATTGACTTAAGGATGTGAGCACATTCCGATAGAACAGAGAGTACTTCCTCTATTTAAAAGCTCGCATTTGCTAGCACTAGGTGCGCATTGTGGCCATTCCACCCACGTGGGCTGAGTACCGTGCGAATCGTCCGATGTGCCCCTTAGTCCTCGCGCTGAATCCTCTCGTCTGACTAGTCGACGTCGCTAAGGAGCGAAAAGGAAAGCGAATATAGAGGCAACCGTAGGGTGAGAGAAGTGGGGATTCACCCACTGGCTAGTGGATGCTAGTAGCAAGCTAAAAGAGAGCTAAGGCTCGCAATTAATCTATCTGAGCCTCTCGGCTAAAGCCTCCCTTGCGGCAACAAGGCTATTGTTCTCTTGGCAGGCGCGAAAAGTTTCGGTTGCACAGCTGGAATCATAGGTTGAAAAAAGGATTCGGGTTAAAGTTTCCCAGGTATGCATTCTTGTGGAAGCGAGCATGATAACGATGTCTTGTAGCGGCCACCGGAGAACACAAACCGAGGATCCATATCACCGCGCTAAAATTTCCTAGGACGTGTACTAAAAAAGTCCCACAAAAGTTGGATTTCAGGACAGACCATCCGGGCGTCGCTCATTTCCCGATTTTCACCTGTCATGCCTATCCATTGCCACATGCGGTCGCAACTGTCAATCATCCCCGGAAAATCTGGGTTGGAGGCCCCTCTTGCTCCCGTGGTCCGTGATGAGGCATATCAAGTTCAAAGAACTGTGTTCAATATTTCATGAATCGCTGCTCCAACAGTGCCGTTCTCGGTACTCGAAAAATCCTTCAAACTCTAATACCCAAGGCTCCGGAATTAAAATTGCGTTCTAATCTCCTGTGTTGGAAGCCTACATAGACTGCATTAGCTGCAGTTGCTAGTCGACGTTAGGACAAATTAAGGCCTCGTGGCGAACGTTCCGGTGATTCCGAAGCCCTAAGTGCCAGTTTCCTGTCGCTTGATCGGATGCCGAGGCTATCAAGCACAACCAGTCTAATGAAGTAGAACACTGAGACATGGTCTAGAACTCACTGCTAGGCCAACGACGGAGCACCACTGGTGTGAACTCCGCTACCATACCACATCCCCGACAAATCGGGTCCGAGCACTAGTGGGATTCACCAAGTCCGACTGTTATGATCTAAGAATAAGCACCGGACGGAGTACGCACAATCCTTGTGTAGGTCCTGCCCCCGGTAGGTGGAAGATGGGTTCCAGAAATTCAGTCATACATGTGCGCAGAAACATCGCCGAAGGATTGTAGCATCCCTGCAAAAACGTGGTCTTGATGTAGCAATTACCGATTCCTGCATGTTGTATATTAAAGAAATGGGGTCGGCCTTCTCCCCCGGACGAGAGGGTGCTTGATCCTTGTCCCTTGTGCTGCGTGTCCAATTTGTCTCTCAGACTCCCAAATGGCCCCGAAAGACAATCTGCAGTCGCAGGCCATCGGCCTGATCTTTGGTTTTCCGGCCGTGGCAACTGTTGCAGTCGCTCTGCGTTTGTATAGTCGACTTTTAACAAGAACATTCGGACCTGGTAGGCCTGTCTTTTGTCCAGATTTGTTCCTTCATGTCCAGCTGATTATGTCTAGACGATTGGGTGATTTGCTTTGCGGGAGTGAGTCGTATCAGCCGCTGGCGATAGGTTGTTGAACTAACAGGCTCTACAGGCCCTCTACTGGGCCGAAACAGTGACTTCATTCTACGGTAAGTTAGACAGACTTCATTCACTGAGATGGAATTCACTGAAATCATTAGTTATTAAATACCAATATATCGGCTATCATGTCTGGGACATTCCCAAAAACCCGCCAACGGTCCTAGGAGCCAAGTTTGCCTACATGGTGCGCATCTCCCTGAGTAGCCTGCCCTACCCAATGTTTAACACAGTACACAGACCGAACTTCTATACAACCCTATTCTCGCGCTCGTCAAGACATCCATCTTACTGTTCCTTCTCCGCCTGACCGGCCAAAAGACAGCAGTCCGACGAGCAATATGGGCACTGCTAATATTCAACGGCTTGGCGATGATCGGAACCTTCCTGGTCACAACATTCCATTGCTACCCTGTTGCAGCGAACTGGAATCCCGCAGCGTATCCCGATGCCAAGTGTGTCAACTTTGCGGACTTTGTTACCGGAACGGCTGCCGTGTCCATCGTGACTGATGGGTTGGTATTGATGCTTCCGACGTGGATTGTGTATAATTTGCGGATTCGACGGAAGCAGAAGATTTTGCTGATTGGGATCTTGTCTTTTGGTTTGATGTATGGACCCCACACTGCGGCGCATCACGTCTCTAAGAGAGAGTTTCACTGATTTGAGTGTTTTCTGTTGCAGTACCGTTATATCAGGAATCGTCCGCGTTGTCCTCCTCGACCGCTACGATCGCCACCTCCCCGAAGATTACACCTACTCGGTTCTCTTCTGTCTCTCTACGATCGAAGTCGGGTTATCCTTTATCGCAGCCTGCGCACCGTCTTTTAAACCGCTCGTCATGACAATCATACCAAAGATGTTCGGCACGAAGAGCCAGAGCGGGGACAAATATAACGGGACCTATAGTCGGAATGGACCGGGGTACGCATTGGAGGATCGATCGAAGATGTCCCGTCGGACGCACAACGGACACAACTCGACGCAGATTCAGGGAGGCGAAGAGGTCACGGTGTCGAGTCCTAGCAGTCAGAATGACAAGAACGGGATTATGATGACGACGGAGATGGAGGTTAGGTGGTATGGAACTAGGCAGGCGAATGATGGAAGTAGTACGGAGAGTTTGATGCAGCCGGTGAGATGAGGCCTTAAGTGTATCACTGGTCTCCTTGTCTCTTGGGTGAACCTCTGATCGTATTTCCATCATATTTCCTTTGTCCTATAATACAATGTTATTGAAAAAGCTTGATGAACGCTGGATGCAAGTTAGCCAAGAAGAGCTGAGAGGCGCTGAAAAGCGAATGCGATACCCTAGGGGCTCAAATACACTGTATAATGAGTGAAGGACTCTGCAATAATTCACATTTGTCATAGATGTTCCAAGAAGCCGAGGATGAATTATCCGTCAATCTTCGCGAAGTATACCCGTGGGCGGTGCATGCGAAATTGCAAGAGTGACCAACAAACCCGATTTCCTGACCAGCCGAAACGTTGGGCTGCATTGAAATTGGCATGTTCCACTAGAACAAAGTCAGGATGAACCAACTTCTGAATTAATCCGACTATGCGTCCAACTTCCAGCAAGACAGGCGAGACAAACAGGACAAACAGCCCCCAACGAGCACGTGACCTCCAGGCGGGTCATGGGGCCGACCAACCAACGGACGTGCTTTTAGCTGTAAACAAGTCGACGAGGCTCTGAATTTCTGAGTCCTTCATCCTACTTCCTGCATCACCCAACACTGATCACTGTCATCTCCAATACTCGCTAGATGCCTTTCATCATCAAATCACCGTTCATTGAGATTGTTAGAGTACTTTCTTGATCTCTTACTTGACAGTTGTCTACGATTCACTCTTTCAACATGTCTCACTTACCGCTTGAAATCATCCTCCTCATCCTCAAGCACCTAGTCCCGCTTCTCTCAGTCGAGGAATCATTACAGCTGAGACATGTAAATAGTGCGTCTTTCCTAATCTCATCAAGATGAATAGAAGCAGATTGAATCCTGTGTCTAACCTACTCCCAGCCCTCTTCGCCAACGAGATCCAACTACTGCTCTTTCGCAACCCTACAAGCGACCAGGAGAACCTCATCCTACAAGAATGGCACAAATGCCCGGAGAAATCTAAGCGACAGTACGTCCGCACAAAAATCGGACTCCATGGTGTACGTCGGTGCCTGTTCTCCCGCCACGCGCATGAGATGCTCCAAACAAAGCTGGCGCACACTTCATTTGCAGGCGTCCCTTTCATCGAAAGAATCGTTGACATAGGTTGTTTTTACTATAACCAACGCTTCACTCTGTTCAATGCCGATCTGTATGATGAGGGTATGGCCGCATATACCCGCGAAGTAGAACAGGATCATGACAATGAATGGGAGCCCATCGAGGAAACAGCGCTCGCAGTGTTGGCGTGTAGTGCGATCGTCCGCCACGACGTGGGTACGTTATTGCTGGCAATCAAATCTGGCTTTCAGTTCCAAGGGTCAAGCGAACGGCTCCAATGGAGCCCTCTTTGTATCGCGGCGTGGGGTGGATCAAAAGAAATCGCGACAATAGCTCTGGATCAAGGATGCATCATCCAGCTATACAAGAAATTTGGCAAGCGATACGTCTTGCTGGATGCTGCCGCGCAAAACAAACAAATGGGCGTATTAGAGGTCTGGCTTGATCATCTGCAACAGATAAAGGACGAGCACTTGCAGTTCAATGTGGATCATCTAATGCGAATGGCCGCCATGAGACAGGAGTTTACGAAGTTCCATTTCTTGTCCAGGTGGTTTAGGGGTGATATCGCCGCTCTACTCTACAATACCCTCATCCAAGCCATAGGTCAGGAAGAGCAAGGTGCGGTCACAGGTATCTTGAAACATGGGGAGTTCGATCGGACAATGTGGACAGAGAAGTACCCAAAAGGCCCCATCTTTACAATTATGTTGGCACCATGGAACTTCAATTCAATGCCTATGTTGGAACGGGTGTTGAGAGGCGGAATTAAACCCGACGGAAGATATCCCGGCGTGAATGGGACGCCGTTGCAGCGGGCCATCGAAAAAGGCAGCCTTGATATAGCTAGCAAGTTGACTAGTTACGGGGCAGACGTCAACGCTTGCTGTGCCCCTCATCGCATGCATAAACGGTCCAAGGTGCCCATGTTACTTCTGGCTGCTAGGAAGCGGAATACTGCAATGGTCAGACTTCTGCTGGACAAAGGGGCTGATCCGACAAGTGTCACAAACGACAAGGCACATGGGAGATTTATCCAGAAAATCGTCGATCGCAGGGAGGCTGACCTTACTTCTGCGAGCGCTCAGAATGACGCATAATGCAGTCTAGCACCGCGATATGCGAACACCAATTTGTCTTCCAGCATCGCTCTAAAAGAGATGATAATAAGAAGGTGGGAATGTCTTGAGTGTTTTAAAAGCTGTCGTTCACATCCCGAAGTAGTGATCAGCTGCTCCTACAAGTTTCTTAAATCATGAAGAAGGCACATGAATACATCGACCTAACGCTATCAATCAGACCCGAGTTCAATAAATTAGATATTCCTCGCTATACCTACGTCGCCAACTCCTTCGCAACCTCAATCTCCGGAAACCGATCCCTAATCACCTGAAACTTTTCCAACAGTATATCCCTACAGACCTGCTGCAAATTATGAAACGAAAACACCACCGTCTTCATAAACACAATATCCTCAATCCGACACGTCGTCTCCTCCAACGTCGCCTGCGGCAAATGAATCACCACATCCGCGATCGTATTAATGATCTCTAACAACTTACTCAGGATCGACGAACCATGCACCCGGATCGTGTTTTGCGAGATCTTCGTCAAGAATTGCCGTAACTGACTCGATAGTCGAAGGGGTAGTTCTAGTGAGAGGGATGGACAGGAAGCATGCGATGAGAGCAGGCAGTTGGACATAGCCATTTGCCATAACAGGGTTCGCATCCACTGTCTCGTGATCACGAGATCGGCCTGCTGTGTTTCGGATAACATGGAGACTTCGAGTTCCCAGAGCGTGTCGTCCAACTCGCGGTATTTGTGCTCTACCCAGCTCGCCGTGACATGGCTGCGGTCGCCGATCCATAGGCTGATGAATGTGGGTTCGAGCAGGAGAAAGGTTTTGATGACTTGCGTCCAGCCTTGCGAGATGCCGACCGGGAGAGATGGGTCTATCTCGGGGAACGCGGCGTGGGAAGACAGCGTCGCAGGCGAGAAGTGCACGATGGACATGAATCGCTCGTGGATGAAACACAGCCAATAGAGTCTTTGGCGGCGGGAGCGTTCTGTGAGATTCAGGCTTGCGTGCACGGCTTTGTCTTCCACGCGCAGGATGTGGATCATGCTGATTGCTTCGCGGAGGTAGAAGAAGCCGAGATCGTGCTGGCCGAGGCTCATGAAGCACATTTGGATGAAGACGCTGGTCATGGCGCGGAGGACGGATGGGCGGAAGCCAGGGAGGAGTGGTTGTTGGGTTTCGATGGATTTGCGGACAAGTTCGGAGATTTGCTTGGATGTTGTTGGTGTGGGATGTCTGGATTGTGTGAGGTCGATGGTGCCCGCCGCGAAGGCGTAGACGAAAGCTGCGTGTTCGGCGTCGGTGTCCATCTTCTCGATGGACTCTTGGACTTCGTCGGCCGTCATGATCGGGTTGAATGGATACACGAATAGCAGGTACTCCGGTACTAAACTGAGAAAGTAGGAACTGGAGAGAGACAGTCCAGGGGAGGGTGAATCCTGGATTAGGGGCTGCACAGGTTCCGGTTCGACTTTATGACCGCCATTCCGATATTTCGAGATGACCTCGCCCCGTCGTTGGGCGTGTTTTCTCGATCGAGCGAGCTGGTTCGGAGTGTATGTGCAGAGCAAATCCAGGTGCTCGCATTGCTGGCACCGCTGCTGTCCGTTACACCGGACTTTCCGACGACTACAGGCGTCGCAAGCCTTGGATACTCGTCCTCGGCGGTTTTCCATGTTGCCTTGATTATGAAGACCGGAAATTGGCTACTTCATGCACGACAGGGCTGTGGTGCAGATGTGGAGAAGGGACTATCTCTGACCGTTGGCGAAGTTGGGGTAATCCGGGGATGACTAGAGAATCACTAGGGAATGACTAGAGGCTGCGCTAAGATGCCTCACTTTGCTGATTAATTGCTGTGTAGCATCAGATCCACCAATCATATGACTATCTTGGCAGTGGTGTGAATTTGCAATTTATTCTAGACCGTGGATAAATATCACTAAGACGAAAGCAACCGAAATCATTAAACCCATTTCCGTATCTATTCCTCTACATCTAACCTGTATCCCGCTGCTAGTCCTTGTTGATCAAGTACGCCCTTCCCTCAAATGGCAGCAGCTCATCCCTAGAGCCGTTTTCCACATTGCTGAACAGCAGACTGATGTCCTGACCTTTCAACGCCGCCGGCTTCTCGAACCCCTGCGTCTCCTCCGAGAAACTGAGCACCAGAAGAACAGTTCGGTCGTGCGACTTCTTCAGGTACGTGAACGTCTTCTCATTTGCCTCATCCAGCAGCTCAAACGTTCCAAAGACAAAAACATCCGCATACTGCTTGCGCCATTGCAGAGCGGATTTCCAGAAACTCAGCACCGACGCCGCGTCTTGCTCTTGCTTTTGGACGTTTATCTCAGGATACTCGTCATGCACACGCATCCAGGTCTTTGCAGACGCCGTAGGTGAGATTCCGGCATTCGGCTCTGCGCTCCACTGCATAGGCAGACGTGCATGGTCTCTCGCCAGACGCTGCAGGGCCTTCATCCCGTTGTCCAACTGCACCGTGTCATCGTTGGTCGACTCGCGAATCATCTTGTAGAAATTGATGCTGTCGATGTCCTTGTACTCGTCGATGCTCCAATGTTCCGGGGCATTGATCATCCCGATCTCCTGGCCCTGGTAGACGAATTGCGTCCCAGATAAGGTACACTGCATCAGAGACAGCATTTTCGCCGACCGCACGCGCAACTCGGGCGTTCTGTCGGAGCCGAAACGGGACACGGAGCGCCCCTGGTCGTGGTTCTCCATGAATACCGTCGTCCAGCCATCCGTGCCATCGATGATGTCTTGCGTGCCTTTGATCGCGGCCTTGAGGTCAGGTAGAGTCCACCCGGGCAAGGTGGTCAGGTACTTGTAGTCCTTTCCCATGCCGAGATCCACGACGTCGAATTGAAAAACCATGCTCAGCTGATTCTGCGCAGCGGAGACATACGCTAGCACGCCGTCCAGGGTGTGTGTGTTTGGTAACTCGCCGACCGTCATGGCATCGTATTTGCTTAAGATGGCATTCATCTCGCCCAGATACTCGTGGATTCTCGGCCCGTTGCAGAACAGCGACGCCGCGACCTGCGTGTCGGCCTTGGGGTCAAGCACCGGGGCGTCAGGCAGACCCGGATGCTTGCTATACATGTTGACCGTGTCGACGCGGAACCCGTCCACGCCCTTCTTCAACCAGAACTCCATAGCGGACTCGTAAACCGCGCGTCTGGTCTCAGGATTCTCCCAGTTGACGTCCGGCTGCTCTTTCACAAACAGATGCAAGTAATACTCTTGCGTCGTCTCGTCCCACTCCCATGCACTGCCTCCAAATATACTCCGCCAGTTATTAGGGGGTCGGCGTGTGCCATCGGCGTCGTATTTAGCCGGTCGCCAGATATACCAGTCGCGCTTGGGGCTGGACTTGGAGGAGCGCGACTCCTTGAACCAGGCATGTTGGTCGGAGGTGTGGTTCACCACGAGGTCGAGGATGATGCGGAGGCCGCGACGATGACACTCGTCGATGAGAACCTGCATGTCTTGCACTGTCCCGTACGGTGGGTAGACGCTCTCATAGTCCGCGACGTCGTAGCCCATGTCGTGCTGCGGGCTGTCGTACATAGGACTCAGCCAGACGACGTCCACGCCGAGGCTAGTGATGTAGTCCAGCGAGGAGATGATGCCGGGGATATCGCCGATGCCGTCATTGTTGGAGTCTTTGAAGCTGGCCGGGTAGATTTGGTAGATGACGGCGTTTTTCCACCATTTTTGGTCGATGGGGGCGGGGGACATAATTCGTCAATTGATGGGGATGGATGTTAAAAGAGGATAACGAAGGTAGGAGGAATGAGAGGAATGAATTGTAATAGACATGTCGAGGTGGGAGTTATAATTCTTTATAACATCGGCGATGTGTCCGAGCACGAGAGATCATCGGGAGTGCCAGCTGTCGCGATATCAGACACCTCCCTCGCCTCGCTGATTGAATCAATGTCGGCCCGACCTGCAGCTGCAAGTGCCAAGACCAGCATTCCTGCGGGGTGCCAAGCTTACGACTGGATTCCTTGACAGGTGCACGCGGGGAACCCCTCTCCCTTGGACAAGGGATAGTGAACACTCTCCCAGGAACCTCAGATGACCCTCAGATGACCCGGTCGAGGACCACCGACTAGCCAAGCCACCGCGGGGAGAAGTGTTGAGAAGTGTTGTGCAAATCACGAAGCCAGCGGGGGGCTTCTTAGGGCTTCGTTGTGCATGCGATGTCGGGCCGAGATGGGACCAATCACCGCCCACAAACGGCACGGAGAGTTTACAAGCGAGCGGCCGGGATTTTGGGACGCGGGATCGAAGCCTCTCGCCACCGAGGCAAATGCTCCAGAATACGGGTTCCCCATGCCTCTGGTCTCGTGTGCCTTGATTTTCCCTGTCGGCCCGACTTATAGCCAACGGAAGGGATGGTCTGATCGTGTCAGAATCCGGGGATATCGAGTGATTTTCTCTCCCTCCACCGACACAATCCGGGGAAGTGCTTGACGCTACGGTTCGTTTGAACGGGCACTAAGACTTAGGACCGGACGGGGGAGCCAATGGTGCTGCGTGAGGGTGACGGGCCAAGAGAGTCTCGACAAGCTGACGGGTCTATTTTGGTGATGGTATGCATTCTGACCCTGGACTTTGGGGAATTGAGGCGGGCAATTGCACTATATAAAAAGGCTCTGAGTTCCTGCTCAGTGAATTCTGGTCAGAGTGCTTGTATTGAAAAATTCGGTCATCTTTGAGATATTTTCCGAGTCTCCTGAGCCTCTGCAGGCATTCAGCCATGGCGTCCGACAAACACGTCAACACCGAACATGTCGAGGAGAAATACGGCACCAGCACCAATCCTGACCATGTATCCGACCATTCCGAGGTCCATGCCAGCAGCGAGGCTCAAGCAGCCCTCGACAAGGAACACAACATGACCCTGCTGCAGGCCTTGAAAATCTACCCCAAAGCCGTCGGATGGTCTATCCTTCTCTCTTGCGCCATCATCATGGAGGGCTACGACGTCGTTCTGATCGGCTCTTTCTACGCTTTTCCCGCCTTCAACCAGAAATACGGCGGGTTGATGTCCGACGGATCCTACGGGCTCACGGCGGCCTGGCAGGCCGGGTTGACCAATGCTATGAGCTGCGGTCAGATCATCGGGCTGTTTCTCAACGGTATCGTGTCGGAGCGCTTCGGATACCGACGCACTCTCATGACTTGCCTTGCGTCCACGGTAGGCTTCGTCTTCATCCTGTTCTTCGCACCGAATGTACAAACTCTGGTCGCCGGGGAGCTGCTCATGGGCATTCCGCTGGGTGTGTACCAGACTCTGGTGGTTACATACGCGTCAGAAGTATGTCCCGTGGCGCTACGAGCATACTTGACAACCTATGTCAACCTGTGCTGGGTACTCGGACAATTGATCGCATCCGGAGTCCTGAAGGGTCTAGCCGAGCGCACCGATCAATGGGCCTACCGCATCCCCTTCGCCATCCAGTGGGTGTGGCCGGTCCCCATCTTCATCGGAGTCTATCTCGCCCCCGAGAGCCCGTGGTGGTTAATCCGCCAAGACCGACGCGAAGACGCCGTCAAGGCCGTCAAGCGACTCACGAAAGCCGGACATCCCGACTTCAGCGCCGAAGAGACCGTGTCCATGATCGTGTACACCAACGCGCTCGAGAAACGTGTCGAGACCGGAACCTCGTACCTAGACTGTTTCAAAGGCGTGGATCTCCGCCGCACCGAGATCGCCTGCTGCGCCTGGGCCGCGCAGAGTCTCTGCGGTGCCGGCTTGATGGGCTACTCCACGGTGTTTTATCAGCGCGCGGGACTTGCCGTCTCCCAGTCTTTTACAATGTCTCTGGCCCAGTACGCTATTGGGGTCGTGGGCACGTTTCTCTCCTGGACGATGATGATCTATTTCGGTCGTCGTACGCTCTACGTCGGAGGACTTGCCTTCCTCGCTGTCATCCTTCTCGTCATCGGCTTCGTCTCTATCCCTCCCTCTACGTCTGCCCTCTCCTGGGCCACGGGCTCGATGCTTCTTGTCTACACACTCATCTATGATTCTACGATCGGCCCTGTCTGTTTCTCGCTCGTCTCGGAGATGCCTGCGTCCAGACTCCGGACTAAAACCGTCGTCCTGGCCAGAAACGTGTATAATGTTTTGAACCTCGTTACGGGAATTATTATCCCGTATATGCTGAACGTGGACGCGTGGAATTGGCGCGGCAAGTCTGGTTTCTTCTGGGGCGCACTGTGCATTCTTTGCTTGACTTGGTCGTTCTTTAGGTTGCCGGAGCCGAAGGGTCGGTCTTATGCTGAGTTGGATATTTTGTTTGAAAGGAAGACGAGGACTAGGGAGTTTGCGCAGGCTAAGACGGGGTTGCTTGAGGCGGATGGAGACATGACTACAGTTGCTGCTTGAGTGGTTGATTTACATGACATCCTAATGATGGAGTTGTTTTGGTAGTATAATGTTGTTTCTGTGATCGCTGATCAGTCCCTTGATCCGCGTCTGAATCTTAACATTCCCCAAAAGAGAAATCTCCACCACAGCAACCTCCCAGGGGAGTCTACCTAGGCCGCAGCAGCCGTCCCCCTCGCCAACTCAAGTCTCTCACGATGCCACTAAACAGTCAGCCAATACACCTATATCCCACAAAGGAAAGAATCCACATACCTTCCCGCACGAAATCGGCTCAAACAACGCTGGATGCCCATCATCCACACAAGTGGCCACAACCTCACAAACCGCCTCCGGATTAAACCCCACAAAGAACGGCATCGCATACCGCGACGTGCTGCGACGATTATAAACGCGATGAACCGTCGACTTGAACCAATTATTCGACAGCCGCTGCAAAAAGTCCCCGATGTTCACGACAAATGTCCCCTCGATCGGTCGCGCGTCGAGCCATTCGTCGTCGGCGGATAGGACTTGTAATCCGCCGGACATGTCCTGCCATAAGAGCGTGAAGCATTGGATGTCTGTGTGTGAGCCGATTCCGTTGTCTATGTTCTGCTGTTTGGTGAGGTTGATGTCGGGTGTACCGGGGTAGTGGATGTATAAGCCATCGGCGCCTGGATGCGTGATGATGTTGTCGAAGTAGTCTTCGGGAAGGTTTAATGCGAGCGCGAAAATGCGAGTCATCTTTCGCGCGAGGGTTAGTCGCCGTTGCCAGAAATCTATCGTCACTTCGCGAAACCCGGGCAAATGGCTTGTTTCGTCCCAGAGGTGGATTTGAGCGTTGTTTAATTCGTGGATCAGGTCTTTGGGGTTGGATACGGTGGGATCGTTTTCGGGGTTATAGCGCAGCGAGAAGGTTTCTTTGCGGTCTGTATGCACGCTTTCCTTAGCAAATCGATCTATAAATGCCATAGAAAGAGATATGTGAATCTACCCTTTGTTTCCGACTTATTTATCTGCGTCGTCCCCACTCCGAAATACCCATCTGAAACCTTCTGCTTGTCTTCCTCGGGCTGTCCAAAAAACGCCTTCGCCTGGGCCAGCGCATTCTGTATCACTTCCTCTGGGATTCCATGATTACTGATATAAAAGAATCCAGTATTTTGTGCCGCTGCCCGGATTCTCCCAGCCAGTTCTTTCCTCTCTTCCAGTGTCCCGTCGATAGCTGTTAGATCGATCACAGGGATCTCGTCCTCTGTGGGGGTGCGGGGCGGAGCGGTAGAAACGCGTCGGTATTCGGGGCCATTGAGGGTGCACAGTTCGATTTGCGTATATTGGGATGCTTGTGTCATCTTGGTTCAGAGGATGAACACGCAATGGGTGGGAAGGTGCCATATTTCCTGGGGGAGACCGTGGTATTTGTCTCGGCTTGTCGCAGCGACCCCGCGTTGGCTGGTGGGACAATTTGGGTGGATTATGTCGTCTTACTAGCATTTGGCTTGTCGCATTAGAGCATTGTTTGTTAATTAAGGTCCATGATCCGTGAGTGGCGAACAACAAGGTAACCCATGCACTTCCCTTAGAATTAATTGGCCAAGGTCTATAGCTATTCCTTTTTTTCACTTTGACTTGCCTGCACATACCCCCTAACCCTCAACACATTGCTATGCCCATCCCTAACCGCCTGCTCATACGCCACTCTATACCCCTTAATGCCCACTGAAAACAACTGCCTCTTATCCCTCCACCCAACTTCCCTCCTCAATTTCTCACTGCCCACCCACTGCGAAAAACCCGTCAAGATCCCAACGACATCAAACCCCACAAATCCCTCCGTGTCTGGCGGCTCATACCGTACCCCTTCCAGGTCATACTCCCTTACCAACGCCTCCCCAACCTCCTTCAGCGTCTCAAATCTCCACCCCGAAATATTATAGATCTGACCCTTCACCACCGCGCGATCGGATTCCGCGATCGCCACATATGCATCCGCACAATCATCCACATGCGTCCCATGTACCACGCTCTCCGGATGCGCGGGTAAGCTTAACACGCGACTCTCACTCTCTTCCGCGGCCCTCGCCAGGTCGAAAAACGGACCATAGTAGCTCCCACTCCGTCCGAAGACTGTCGTCGGTCGAAGCAACACCGCATCGAATGCTGCCTTGTTCTTCTCGTCCTCGATCACCCTCAACGATGTATATGTTCGCGGCGCTAACACCTCCGGCGGTCGTAACGGCGACGTCTCAGTATGAGGCGCTAGATCCGGGTCGTCGGCCCGCGCCGTCATTCCGTAATCTTTGCATCCGGAGGTGAATAGCACGAGCGGTCTCACTCCGGCGGCATTACTTGATTCCGAAACGGCGTGTATGAGGGATATGATATCTGCGTAGTGTGATTCGTAGTCGTAGAGCGACTCGGTGGTGGATACGATCGCGTCGAAGGCTTTTTGCTGGGCGAGGAGGTGAGGGAGGAACGAGGTGTCGCTGGGGGAACCGAGTACGGGGATTATCTCCTCGCGCGCGAGGGAAGGGATGCTGCTGCTTTGGCGCGTCAGGCCGTACACGGTCCATCCGGCTCGGATGAAGGCGTGGCAGACGGCGTTGCCGATGTAGCCGTTTGCGCCGGTGATGAGGGCGGTTCGGGAGGTTGGGGTTGCGGTGGTGGGCATGGTTCGTGGGAGGGAGGCGATGTTGTTTCCTGGGAGGGGGTCGTTGAGGTACAACCCAGAGCGATTAAATTAATAGTATTTTGACTGGTGGATGCTTATGAAGCTGAAGATGGCTTATCAAGCAAGACTGAGGGGTATGCTTGTTTGGTTGGAGATGATCTGCACTAAAAGATACTATTAGTAGTTAGGTAGCTGTTCAAGTCTTCCTGCATTAGTTCATAGAGCAGTCTGCTTTCGCCGGTCGGAGACTGTCACCATCTTCATTCACGATGCTCATAAAGTTGGTATTTATCAGCGACCAGGATCTTAGAGTTGAAATGTACTACAGCGCAATGGAAAGGAATTTCAAACCCAAAGATTGAACGGTTAATCTGCTCTAGCGAGTCAGTCAATAACAGGCTAGATGCTTACAGGATTTTCAGTTAGACTAGTTCTACGTAGATCTATTTTGACGTAAACCATCTGTATTTTTCACTGGATAGGTGATAATGTAGTCCTTCACTATTTTCCAATGCCAGCGAGCATCCGGTCAGCTGATCATGGGAAACCCTACCTCAGATGAGTCTATGATGAGTCTCTAAACCACGAGTTAGAGTTCTGTATTTCAAACGACAACGCTCACTGTTGGCTCAACTTGCACAGGCATTGGAGCCCAAGCAAGAGATGGATCCAGTAGGCAGGCCGGGGGGTATGATGTGACATATTACAAGGCAGTCCTAGAGATTAGACCCTTAGTGCGGCCATTACTACACATTTTGGCTTCGCCTTGTCGTTAGATGATATTGAGTGGTAATGACTTAAATGGTACATGTAGTCGGTCGGGAACAGATAAAGAACTACGAGCGTCTACTTTGCGCGCACACAATACTCAGTACTCATTTGCAACGCTAGAGCAATTTCTCGTCATAACAGCGATTTTAGCACCTTAAATTGGCATCGAGCATAAATGTCCATATCCCAGAATTCGAACAATCTATTCATCCCATTTCCTATGCCTGAAATTCCTCCTACTTGAATGACAACTTACGTTGAACAATTTCGTCAATTCTGTCGCGTCACCCGACCATAACCCCTCGATGTGTCTACACCAATTAATATTCTTCGTACTCCTCAAATAAAAGTAACACGCAAATGAAAAGAGTCAAAACGTACCCAAATCAAAGCAGTTCATTAACCACAACCACCATCACTACCCCCGTCATGTCCACCATCCTTTGATCCCTCGGCTTTGCTTAAAAGGCGCCTCTCTCGCTTCCGGTCAACCTTGTCGCCGCTTTTATCATATTTGGTCTTGTTTCGGGAGGCCTGGTATGTGGTGGGGAGGGGAGGGTTGGAGTATGTTTTTGAGTGTGAGGAGCCCATTTTGGGTACTGGTATGGAGGACTTATTTTTGAGCGTAGATCTTCAAGGCTTTTTAGAAATTTTTGTCTGGATAAGAAAGAGATATGTTCTGTCTACTCTTAATGTTAATAGTGGGACAAGGGCTCACGTCTTTATAGTGATCTCGATGTTCGACGAAGCTCTGGCACCTAGGAATTGATTGGTTCCATCGTAAACATATTCGTAATCAGTGTGGCGTATGGGCGAAAAAGAAAGCACACACCGAAGTGAAGAATGACGCTGCCTTGGATGATACGAGCAGTATTCATAACGATGCAAGCTTGTTGATGGTGTCCATGGTAACAGATGGCTGGCCGAGGCAGCTTCCTCCCACCAAGCACAGGTCGCGTGCCAGCTAAGCCCCCCGGGAGTCGTCAGGCAGACTTGATTAATGCTCAAAGCACCTGGCCACAGACTATAAGGGCAAAACAATGAGTGCTGTAGATGATCAGAACTAGTTGCTCCTCTATGTGAGAGTATCAAGAAGATGCTGCGTTCCATAGTTACATGAGGGTCCAACGGCGAATGCTTGGGTCAGGCAAACAGCTTCCATAATAATTAACACCTCCTCCGTGGCGATTCGGTTTACACTTGTACTGTATTACTAATTAAGGCCTTTTCGATATTGACGGAAAGACCGTTCCCTGTATACAGTGTTCGTTGATTTGCTACATGGCAGTTGATTTAGTGTGCCTAGCTACACTCACTGACATGCATATTGAGAAGGTTTGGATTGCCAAGAGAACCGAATACCGCAGTTTATTCAATATCCAGATTACTGAGCATTCAGAGTCGATACTTATTTCCATGATGATACTATGTTTCTTACAGTTTAAAAGCTAGTTTCAACCTAATGCAAATTGATGGAGCTTCTCAATATGCGGACCAGTGAGTGTATAGACAGGCTTGGGATATTTGTTTCATAGAAATACGTAAGAGGAAGTGTAAAATAGAGTGTGATTAGAGGTAGATTCTCCAGGTTTAGGAATAAACCGACCCCAAACGAATCACACGAAGACAAACCCGGGCTAATAACACATATTAGGCTAAACAGAACTAACTCGAGCGTCTATGCAGGCTGGGCACCAATTAGATCCCGATTTTACCACAAACCAACACCCTCCAGCCTCGTCTTTCTCCATCCTGTTGCCGAGGCGAAGCGCTCCCAGCTTCCGGGTTGGTTTGGTTAATGCAATGCAGCTCAGCCTCCTTGAACCGGAACCTACTCCATTTCCCAGTACAAATTCATTCGGTGCCTTCCCTCACAACAATCCTTAAAATCATGCTCCCAACAAATGAGGAACCGTCGCACGATTTCATCTCTTCTAACCCTGTCATCATCAGCGACCGCGCCCTCGGCTGCCACGACGTCGCAGAGACGGACAATGATTCCACTCTTCTCCAGAATCACCTAGATGAGGGCGAAAGAAAAGAGCCTATGAGGCCCCAGGCCAGCACAAAGTCTATGAGTCGATCGCTTTATATCCTATTTCCTGTTGTCATCTACTTTTTCTTCGTGATTTTCTCATGGGTTACTATTTGCGTCTTGACAAAGCGGCCGATAACGACCAGTACTTATCGCTATAATCATTGGATTGGTCCCAAGGAAGTGCGCAGCTTGCACAAGAAGAATGAGAAATGGTACTCTGCTGCCAGAATATGCCAAGCAATAGTCGCAGTTTCCACGATTCCCTTAACATCTGCTGTATGCTCGAGCGCGGCAGTAGTATACGTTCAACATATGACCATTAAATCCGCTCCAAACCTCACCCTTCGCCAGATGGTAACGCTTGCCGACCGGGGCTGGACAGATCTCATCCTATTGTCCAAGCTCTTTACGAGAATCTCAAACTGGAAGCGATACAGCTGCCTGTTCCTATTGTATGCAGTTCTGTTGCACATTCTCGGGGGGCTTGATCTCTCCGCTACAGCAACTCTTTCTGTCCACGGAAACGATCAAGACGCAAACTGAACCCAGTAGCATTGCAAATCTTGTGGATATCCCAAGCAAGTTCGACGATCCACGACCCAATAACGCAGTTTTGACCACGAGAAAGGCCCTGGAAACAGTATGGGCCTACGATGGCTTATCTGAGCTTTGGGCTGGGAACAACAAGAGTTGCAGCACACCCGGAGACATGGACGAGAGTGCTTCAAATGGATGCAGACAGCCAGATCTTACCTGGGGCTCCCTTCTAGACCTCCAGGACCCGTATATAGCACAATTGGCTAATGGGTTTATCACCGGTCTTATTCGTCAGACTGTACCTCGAATTAACTCGACCGCGCAGTACAAGACTATCTCAGAGGATGGCTTTCCTGTCGATTGCGACAGTCTTGATTGGGGGCTCTCTTATAAGTACAGCAACTTCACAAACAATTCAAACGGAGACCTCGCTTGGTCTGTTCACGCCTGCATGCCAGTCGACTTGCGAATATCACCTTGGAAGAAGACTCGTGACCGACAAGACTACTCGGAGGAGCTTTTTCTGAATATAACCATGTCAGAGGACTTATGGGAATTAGTTGACCGCGCGAATAGCAAAGGCCCATATTCACGTACGTTCCGAGTAACGGTCACTACAACAGCAGGGTACTTTGAACTCCCCAATTATATGAACGATCGGACTCCGGGTCCACTCATGGAGCGGATACCAGAAGCATTCTGCGACGAGGAGTGCGTGTACCAGGGATCGATCTCGTAAGCTATTCCATCTTATTCCCTTTCCTTATCCTCTCTTCCCTTATATGACATAAAGAGAACGCAAGCTTACCATTTTAGCGAGGATACCCAAGACGGAATGGAAGCCGAACAAAGTACCCAGCCAGCCAAAAGGCTGTCCGAATTCGATAACCTCGACCAAATCCCAAATAAAGGCCCTCTACTAACCACGGCCATGGCGCTGTTTGGCCCAGGCTCGTATTTGGACACATACAATCACCCCCCTGAGTCGTACTACTTAAGCAAGACAAACCGTCAGACTTGTGTCGATCTGGTTCCTCTAACACGCTTCCTCACCTCCCTCGACCGGAAGTTCGATGCCTTTTTCATGCAAACCTGCGTGAGGCCCATGGGGCAATTTGAGTCTTTCGATACGGTAGCTAAGTTCTTATACAGCTTTGGCATGGATGATACGGTCTTGTCCCATGCCTTCACCGTTGCGGCATACTTAGCAAATCGTGCCTGGCTGTTAGAACTGGATGGGAGCATTCAGTCCTATTTTTCAGTGGCGTATGACCTCGGTACAGACTCTCAGCGGCCCTCCATCTCGCAAACGGGCATGATCGTTATTTCCGTGTTGATGGCTATCTATCTGGGCGCTCTTCTTGCAACAACGCTGTATGCCACCTCCGGCCGCCGGTGGACTGATAAGCTGGATGCTTTCGCGATGATGCGCCTCGGGGCCAGCATCAGCGAGCAGGTGCCGCTGTGGATAGCGGAGGAAGTGGACGAGATAAAAACTTTGGACGAGACGCCAGGCTGGATAGGAGATAGTGCCACGGAGGACAAGACGGTGGGACAAATTGCCCTAGGTGGCACGACCCCGTTGCGCTCGAGGCGGAGGTATGTTTCGTACGAGCGATCAGAGGAGTTTGTGGAAAAGAAGAAACAAAAGAAGGAAAAACGAAGGAAGAGAGCAGAACGCAATCCACAAGCCTTACATGTCGGCGATGTAGTGCCTGGTTGGCGCTAGTCAGCCCGATTGATGCTCTACAGCTGTCGTTCAGCCTCCCATAAGTCGGTGTCAGCAATACGCCCCTATTCCAGCCATACGTACGCCACAATACTTCCTAGGGTTCCTTCTATCCTACCTCAGGCGGGCAACTAGAAGTACCTTTCGGCTCTGTAATTAGCAACTGAATTCCTATATCTTCTTGTTCATCTACATGCGGATAGATCAGCGACTGATTCGTCTTTTCCGTGGTCTATATTAGACCTCCGAGTGTAGCGGATCTGATGGTCTATAAAAGAGCTGGATAAAATAAGTTTGTTATTGATTTGTATAGTCAAGCCATTTTTCTATGAGAAAGAAACGAACTATCTAAAAGACTAATTTAAAGAACTTAAATATTTACTTAATCTATCCGTGGCCTCCGGGATCCTGCGGGCCACCCACTGCCCAAGATTAGATATGAAGATTTTTTATCTATGAGTTTGAACAGTCTATCGAATGGTTACTACTTTTTATAAGAATAATCGAAATTTACTTCGAGATCAATTAATATCTAATTAGTTTAATAACTCAGGTCTTAAAAGTATCGTTCGTAGAAATTTTCTAATTTGAGTAAAACTGTAAGAGGGGGGTAGTAGATTGTCCACTCCTCCCAACGAGCTAAAGGGACCAACACGGAATCCCTCCGGGATATCACCAACCATCTCACCATATATAGTGCCATGCAAACTTGGAGCGAGCTCACTCGCTGCGAAGCCAACAGCGTCCGGTGCCACCTTTGTCTTTACCGAGAGACAGGGTCCCCAAACCCTGTCTGAAAATCTACCAAATTCATATCTCTTTCCCATTGTTCACTTTTTGTGGTCTCGTTTTTGCTCTTGGACAAATTACATAGAGCAGTGTCCCTTCTAAGAACGCGTGACGTCAATAAGATTTAGCCGTACAATTCTTCCAGGGTTTCCCGGCTCTAGCTAGGAATTCATCACCGCGGTTTCTTTGTTAGAAGTCAAGGTGGTGTATGATAGTTCAAGTCGCACAGACATAACGAAATTACTTGACGCTTATTTGCTAAAAGAACAAGGTCCTCAACAGCTAATGTTTCTGAGCTAAGCAAAGGTTTACAGGCAGCTAATGACTGTATTGCTGCTGTATATAGCGTACCTACCATCTAATAGATTATAGAAATAATAATATTTTCCTATATTTCTTGCACGAAGGGGATGGTTTGTTGGCTGCGCCAAATTCAAAACGGATTCGTAATCGAGCGCTTTCGCTCTTGGCACCTATAATCTAAACCAGCCTGGCCTTGGCTCTCATTGCTTTGTCTCTTCGTAATCCAAGTAACAGGATTGTGATACAAATATAGGATACTCGTTCAGTTAATATAACTCAAGGCTTAATAGGGCAGGCCAAGCCGCATTCTAGAAATGTTAAAATCTAGGAAATTCCCCTAAAATACGCTAACAAGACTTCCATCCCCCAGGATGACACTATTCGGTCGTTCCATCCTCTTGAGACCATCGGCCCCGGAAGCAAGGATAACCGAGTATTCGTTTGGGGACAGCCCCGCTGATGGATTAGCCAACATGCAATTGCCTCGACAATCCAACAATCGCAATTATTTCCTATGCTAAACGCTGGGGTATGTCCCTTGACACCTCGCAATGCCGTCATACCTCCTCTTTTCACAGTGGGGGCCCAATCCTCCCTACAACACACTGTACATCTTCAGTAGAATCTCCTCTACTCCGGAGTATGTAGCCAGCTTCAAAACCAGGGTATAAATATGTGTCCTGGCCCTGGCAATCTGAAACTTGAGAATCATCGAAACCCATCCCATTTCTTCTCATTCATTCATCAACCGAGCAAGGCCAAAAACACAAATCTATATAACCACCAGAAAACTGCAACAATGCGCTTCCAACTCCCAGCAACCCTCCTCACCGCAGCGTTAAGCGCAACCCCCGCGCTCGCTGGTCAAAAAGTCGCAGCAGTCTGGAGCTCGTCCACCTTCAGCACAGTCGGCAAAACCGGAACAAACAGCTTCGACGGCGGCTTCGCGCTGTTAAACTCCGACAAAGACGGCATCTACAGCGATGGCGCCCCCGACGGACACACCCCGTGTACGTTCGCGGGCACAGAGTTCCAGCTCGAGAAGGGATGCCTTGGCGGCGCATGGTACTCATTCCGGTGCGTGGCAAATCAGATTGGGGTTCCGCAGACCTGTGAGGTTTTTGGGCCTGAAGGGCAGAGTTTGGGGAAGGGGGATGGAAGTAACGAGTCGGAGTTCTTTGGGGTGGGGATTGCGCTTGGGGGGGCATGTACTGTTGAGTTTGAGCTTGTTGATGGGATTGATTGTGGGGCGGGTGTCGATGGTTTCAAGGCGCATCATACCGGCTGGAATCGTTGGTAATCTAGAGTTGGTGACTTCGTGAGGTGTTTTATAGCTCGGTCTCCGATGGTATTGGCGCACTGCTGTATCCGTGGTTGCCCGGCCTTACCACCCACTGCCTTCCGCCGGTGGGTGGTCTGCAGCAGAAAGAGATTTTTTTGCAAAAGGAAAAATGAAGCTATTGTGTTTGATTAGAAATACATGAAGTAGGAAAGTGGGCTTCACACGAGATACATTGAGTCATGTATTAGAATAGCGTACTTTGTATGCCTCGTTAGAGATACGAGTAGGTGATCGATAGGATATAAAATTGTCCAGGACAATAATTGAAAGGCATGAGACAGGTGCCCAAGCTAATGCTCTTCGTTACTATCCTGAATCAATTGCAAATATATTGATTTAGATTTGCGTTTCTAGTTAGCTTTTCGAGGTAGTCAGATACGACCTGTATAGTCTAGGCACAGCCACATCAATGCCTCTGTCTATCTCAGTTGCGGGCTACGTAGTGACCGTATTCTCGATGTAGCAAACCTCAGAAACGAAATCAAGTCAAATAGCTGTAGTGTATGTTGTTGATAATCACTGTCTGTGTTTGTGGCCGTCTCATTCTTGCTGTGCTGGGCCTTGAGTCAAACCATAACTGTAACTGCGACTTTTTTCTGTCAAAAGAGTAAATATCAGCAATTGGGACAATGAAAAAAGGAATCTAAGAAACTTTTGTTCGGCCGAAACTATGCCGCCGACGCTCCAAAGACCGAGGTGAGCATTACTACCCGCCTCCAGACATACTTTCCCAAGTAAGACCTAGTGATGTCTCGGAACAAGGTAAACAAGACATCGCGAGGTTTTGCTGTTATAGCTGCTTTTTTCGGCGCAAGAGTGGCAGACGGTGCATGTTAATCACTACGACCTATCGACTACAAGTTCAGTATCTTTCAGTCGGGCGGGGGAGGGGATCACTGGTACAAAGAATCGAACATCACAGCATACCTCGGCTTTATCTAGCACATTCACATCTTATTGCCACTATTTTTTGCTTGGTCCACTCAGCATCCAAGCTTGATTGTCCGATAGACTATACTAGCCCCCAAGGAAATTCTATCACGCCAGTTGCTGGGCGCAATTAGTATCGCCAAACAGTTGTGTTATCGAGTGTGAGGCTAGTTGCATTGGCGGTCAGAGGGCTGTGACATCTATCATCCCATGGTGCATATTTTGACGTCATGTCATGGGGTACGTGCTTTATGGGCTCTGAGCCCAGTGTGTTGGGTACATCTGCTGATTAACTGTTTTATCATTTTAAGTTCATGCCCTGTTTGACAGTGATATTTGGCTCCCTGTCGTCGTTGGGGGGTTGTATGTACTTGTCCGTGCAGTTATTACTAGTCGATGAATTTCCTTGAAAAGTGTTGTTTGCCTTGACTATCGGACTTTCCTCGGTAGCCCTATATGATAGAAAATTTCATTACCATGTGCTTTATTGGAACATTTCCGCCTTCGATGTGAATGTCTTTATTCGAAGGAGGGTTGCTTGGGCAGCAAGCCAAGCAACACGTTGGGACAACTAGCTAAGGAAATTCTATTCGAGCAGTCTGCGGCTACATGCATTATGCCACCAAAGTTTGATATATTAAATAGACCCCTCACAAATCTCCTTTACCGCTTGATATCTACACTTTCGATGTGGTACTGGATTTGAGAGAGCGCAGAAGGTATTAAACCATGTTTCATGTCTCCTCGTCTAACCCGTGATTAACCATTTCCTCCCGCCAAATCTTGCCTTATAAACATGACTGGACCTGTTGATTCAGCATCTTTTCAGAATGACCTTTCTTTCCCCAACGATCCTTTTTTTGCGAAGCTAATTTATAATACACAATCGTACCAACACACTATCATTGACGATGTAAACCTTGGAATCAAAGCGGACTATGCCAAGTTCATGCAAGATGTTATCAGCCTTCGAAAGATCATCCGCCAACACCTCTCTCGGGAGTTACTAGATTCAAGGGGGTCAATCACTAAGGATGGTGTTTATCTCGGGGTTCTAGCGCCCGGAAGCTACGAGTTTCTGGTAGCACTTGTAGCGACTCTCGCTCTTGGTGCAGCAGTAATTCCATTTGGTGAGACAGATGTTCTGCCTTGTGAGGAGGTTATTCGAAGTTAACAAACATACCATTCAGCAACCGGTATCCTCCCCGAAGAGGGCTTTTGCATGATATCTACATGGAAACCAACCTGCGTGCTCATCGGATCTCAGCAACTCGGCCTGGCCGCGGCAATCCAAAAACACAGCCAAAAACAATCCCATGACCCACAAGACATCCCACAGATCCCGATTCTGTCATCTCTACACAAGATGTCCTCTGTATCGGTTGATGGCTTTACCATTAACGATTCTATCACATTTTCCTCCGAACGCCCGGCCCTCCTCTTACTTACTTCGGGCACCACCGGCGCTCCGAAGGGCGTCGTCCACACCCGTCGATTCTTCTACTACGGCCAAGGGTTTGCAGAACCATGCTTGCCAACCGATGTATTCCCGCTCATTAGGCCCGTCTCCTGGGTTAGCTCCATGCGCAGAATAACCGAAATGCTTCAATGCGGTGGTACGATCGTCATCATGGACCAGACCATATCAACGCGACCCGAGGCAGTGTGGGCTCTGGTTCGAAAAGGAGGGTTTACTGTCGTTTCGTTGACTTCCCTCGATTGGCGTCAATTGATGGTGTACTATGAACGGACCCTCAGCTCCTTGCCTGTTCATACAAGAATAGAGTACGTTAGAGGACTGAAGTCGCTCCGTGTGCTACAATGTGTTGGCTGGATGCCTCCTCCCCTCGTGAAAGCGTTTTGGGAAAGGTTATTGGATGGAAGGGCACTTGAGGTTGCTTACGCCAGTACTGAGGCCGGGACAGTAATTGCCTCGACCACCTCTGCTATGATAGATCATGAGATTGTGAATTCCTTACCGCCTTCGACGGAGATGTTGCTAATGAGGCAGGCGTGTATCGGGAGACCTCTACCTGGGATGAAGATGAAGCTGTCGAATGGAACGAAGGGCGAGATCCTCGTTAAGACCCCGACGATGTTTGCAGGGCGAGTTACATGTTTGTTCCTCCTACTTTCTAGCGCACGCTGACAGACACCAGGTATTTGAATGATGATGGTTCGACCCAGGCTGTCTTCGAGGAGGGTTACTTCCGATCAGGTGACATGGCACATTTACGCGGTGACGGGTGCTATTTGATTGGAGGCCGGGCAAAGACTGACTGTAAGCACCACTTCTCAATGTGGACGTCCGAGTGAGCGCCATTGTCTGACATATCCTCAAGTTGCAAGATTTGTCGGTTTGCATATCCCTCTGATTGAGGTCGAATCGGCCGTGGCGCAACTGCCATATGTGGACGAAGCGTATATTCTTGCCGTTCCCGACTGTGACACTCAGACGCGAGTCGGGGCACTCCTTAGGGTGAAGTCTGGGTGGAAAGATCTGACATTGGAGACTCTGCGAAAAGATCTTTCTACTGGGCTTTCCACGTACAAACTTCCTACACTACTCTACCTTCTTCAAGGCGATGAGCAAGTGCCCAGAACCTTGTCCGGGAAATTGTCTATCAAGGAGACTTTGCGTATGTTTTTCGCGTGTTCCGGGGATCACTGGACGGTAAAACTGCCTGAACGAGTTGAGAAATGGGACCTGTCGGTCTTGAAGAAAGAGCGAAAGAGGGCTTGGGACTGGAGTGGCTTGCAAGTTATGGCAGTTTGGAGGGCTTGGCAGGGATGATGAAAGCACTGAATTACGTGATCTCCACAGATTCGATTGAAGGTCTTGATTTTCTAACTATGCGATACAGTTCGTATTTATGCAATCCCTAGAACTTCAAAATGATGATCAATCAATTCAACAAAAAGAAACAATCATGTTGAATAATTGACTGGTCGATTATTTCGGCTAAATAAGACGATGAAATGTCGGTTTAGTCAATTCCCGCGGTCACACACTCTCTCAGCGCCTTGTGAGACCTATTTGCCCTCTTGGGCCAAAATGAGATCTTTAATGTTGACAAGATTCAACATTTCCATGAATTTACGGTGTTTTTGACTTAAAAAAACTTTCGTAAAGCCATCAGCGATCATTCGATCGGTAGAGATCCATTTCACGTATAGATTGTCTTTCTGAGCTTCCTGTCGAAGCCATGACCGATAAATATTAATGTGACGCAATTTAGAACGTTGTTCAACGTCTTTTGAATTGATTAATCAAACAATTTGCTGATTGTCATAGAAAATGATTATTTTGTGTTGAGGATCGAATCTCATGATATTGAAAATTTTGCTTTATTAATAAATAATTTTTGCAGTCTCAGATAGAGCGAGAAATTCTGCTTCAATTGTGAAAATTGTAATGGCGCGTTGTTTGTTTAATTTTTATTCAATTGGATTGTTGTATAATTTGACAAGATATTCTGCTGAATTGCAGCGGTCAGATCGATCAATAAAAGTGGTATCTGATCCAATTATTATGATTTTTTTGATGTTTAGATTGACAATGTATTCAATCACAAGTAGACTTCATCAGAGCCCACAAATGGGCCTAACTCTTGGGCCCATGGCCCAACCCACTGTGGGCTGATGGCCCAGATTTCAGGCCCAAGCCCAACCATCAGGCCCACGATGGGCCCCCAATGGGCCCCCGCAAAAGCCCAATTTTGCATAAAATCTTGGTCTTGGCGTTCATAAAGCTGCTAAATAATCAAAATAAAATACTGTTTTTTACATCTGTTCCAGTTTGTCGACTGAACTTCTTTGTAACCTTGCCTAAAGCAGTAGGAAATTCTAGGAAATCCTCTTCGAATTAAAGAAAGTAAAGCTTATTTTAAGCTATTTACTTATAAAAATCCTATATTCCGATTGTTATGGTGGTGTACCAGTGGTTCGTGGATGGAGTTAATGTAAACTTGTCTAGATATATATTTCAAATATAAAAGGGTGTGTGTATCTTCTTGACAAGAGAAAAAGTAAAAAAGAAGTTACTTCTGCTTATTCTGATTTGTTTATTCTCTACACGAAATGAAAGCTCATTTTCTCTATTTTAGAATTCTAATCATAAACGACAGTATAAAGAAGTGAATTTGAAGGAATTTAGCTCTTTGTATCAGTATTCTATCTATATATCTGACCGGATGAAAATATTTTGAGGGTATCTAAAACCAAGTTGGGCTGGGAATGGGCTATCAGTGGGCTGTTCGTGGGCTTTCGTGGGCTTTCGTGGGCTTTCGTGGGCTTTCGTGGGCTATTCGTGGGCTTTCGTGGGCTATTCGTGGGCTTTCGTGGGCTATTCGTGGGCTTTCGTGGGCTTTCGTGGGCTCTTTGTGGGGTTTCCTGGGCTATTCATGGGCTCTGATGGGCTTTGTTGGGCCTCGTTGGGCCTCGTTGGGCCAAATACACTTCACTTGTGATATGTAGGCTTGTTTGTGTGACTTACTATCAACAGCTAAGTAAATCAAATTATTAGAAATCCTTCTTCTAGTCATGTATCTATCTCCTTTACCCTTCTTTTTTTTTTTATTTATGTGTTGTATACTTACTTTATCATGTCCCAAAGCCAGCAATCTGACTTTGCATCATCTCTTTATGATGCAGAGATAGATAATCTAACGTTTCTGACTTCTTCAAATTACGCAGCTACTCCATCTGGCAGTCAGCATCCATTTGATGCCCTTGATCCTTCGGCGTCTTCATTTATTCGACCAGCTATTCCTCTTACAATTCCATCCTCTCTTGAACGCGTCGGGCCTGATCGAAGAAAGGCATATGTGCTTTACAACGAAATGACTCATAGTGAATGGGTAGACTGGTGGTTACAAACTGATTATGGGTCTAAAAACAAGATACATTGGGACTCAAACCATCTTTCAGATATTTGGAAGCAATATGATCAGGTCGCTTCTAGTATAGACGGCGCCCCAAAGGTCATGTGTAAACGCTGCAGCCAAATCCTTGAACATCCTTATTCTACGAAAAAGGACATTAAAGGGAAGGAAGGGCGTCATGGCTTATCAACAATGACAAGGCACCTAAAGACTGCTGCGTGCCAACGGTTTGAGAACAGACAGAAGGATGAAATCATAAAATTCCTACAAAAAAGGGTATATCTAATATTCTATTACTATACTTCTTTAACTAATAGTTAATTATTCTACTAGGAATCTGCTCCGACTGACGTTCCTTTCTCACAACCAGCCTGGGAGGAAAAGATTTTATCATTTCTTACAATTAATCGGCTTCCCTTTTATCTAATCGAGCATCCAACATTTATAAGCTTGATTAAGATGGCCCACAATGCACCCAATATGCCACAAATCCCATCTGCAATGACGATCCGTCGTCGGCTAGAAGTGCTAGTCAAAGACCGGCAACAAAGGGTCCTTAGGATGCTTCCTTCAGGTTCAAAGATATCAATTGCGCTTGACAGTTGGACATCTCCATTTTCCCAGGCATTTCTAGCTATAACTGGCTACTTTATTGATGCTGATTGGGTATATCGGGAAGTACTTCTTGGCTTTAAACCTCTTCATGGAGCACATACTGGTTTAAACATGAGCAGTGTTGTTCTTGAAACACTGAATAGTCATCAGATTCAAGATCAGGTCTTTGGATTAACCAGTGATAATGCATCAAATAACAAAACACTGGCTGATTCCCTCCAGCAGGCTTTATCTAATGATGTTAATATTATCCGAACTCCTTGTCTTGCTCATGTTATTCAACTTAGCCTGAATCAGCTTCTTGACCGTCTCAGAGCAGTTCCACAAAACAATACTACAGAAACAAAGTGGACTGATCGGCTGTCATCTTCAACCAAGGCAAATACACAGCACCAGAAGCATGAGGTCTCTTATACCTTGAACAAGGTCCGCTCTCTGGCAATTTATATCCACGGAAGCCCTTCACGCCGGGAGGCATTCAACAGTCTCCAAACAGACGGTCTCAAGCTTTCACCAATCCAAGATGTAAGAACTCGATGGAATTCAACCTTTCTCATGCTCCGTCGCGCGAAACGACTCCGCGATATCTTTACACAATTTTGTGCGGACTATGATTGCGAAGAGATGGTACCAAATAATGAGGAGTGGCGCCAAATCGACTATCTTTTCTATATTACTGAGCCGTTCTTTTTCTATACAACTGAGCTATCAAAGACTCGAGAGATTACAATACACCTCGTCTTCAAGATCTATAATGCGCTCTTTGAGCATCTTGAAAAACTAATGAAGCAGCTCCGGCGGAAGTGTGTTCCATGGAAAAAACAGATGCTTGATTCTCTTGAAGCTGGTCGATCAAAGCTTGATGAGTACTACTCGCAGACAGATAGAGTTAAATCACATATCTATGCGATTAGCACAATGCTTGCCCCTGATAACAAGTTCCAATTCTTCCTATCTGATGACTGGGATAAACAATGGCGTGAACTTTATCGGATATCTTTCCAAGAAGCTCTGATTCCTTATCAAGAACATCTCTCTACTATTCAAGGCTCTGCTACTCCCCTTACCACAGCCAGACCAAGCTCAAGGCTTAAAAAGATGTTGAATGAGCACAAACCACAGCCAAAGCCAGTGAGGGATGAAATGACTCAATATCTTAATAGTGGTATGTTAAACACGTTATTTTTCTTAATCATATACTAATATCCTTGAAGACACTATTGATATGGAGCCCCTTCAATTCTGGAGAGATAATGAATATCGATTTCCAGCTATTGCAGCCCTTGCACGGGATATTCTCTCTATTCCAGCAACAGGTGCTGGTGTTGAACGACTTTTCAATACTGCTCGAGATATCTGTCATTACCGCCGCGGTCGGATGAAGTCTGAGACAATTGAGGAGATTATGATGTTTCTTTGTACATCAAGATTTGATCTCGAAGACCAAGAGGCAGAATTTCTCAAGGAATTCTTCTCTATCTACGAGATCGAGGCAGCAAAAGAAGAGAAGGATGAGAATTTAGAGGAGGTTGAGATAGGGCCGATTAGTGACACTGAGGAGCAAGAAGATGAAGAAGTAGCAGTGATACAGAGCCATACAGAGCCTGAGTTACCAGAGAATATCACACAAACACGAGCTTCAGGAAGATTCAGAAAGAGGAAGAATAGGGAGGATGATGAGTTTGAGTATCATTAATATATTGAATTACTGCTTTTTAAATAGTATCTTAATAACTAATCTCTGCACGCTGACCGCTTCAGCAAGTAAGAATATAAGATATAACCAGGCGAAGTAGACATTACAACGAGTCAATGATTGCTTTTCAAGAGAAATAATGTAAGAGAAATACTCAATATTACAGCTAAAAAATGCATAAATTATGCAGTCATGAGATCGGAGCATGTTTGCACTGTTTAGCCTAGTTTGGGGGCCCATTTGGGCCCCATCTAATGGCCGTGGGCCCCTGGGCTCAGCCCATAGCCCATTATGGGCCCTAAAACCTGGCCCAAAGCCCAGCCCATTTGTGGGCTGGGTTGGGTTGGGCTTGGGCTTTCGTGGGCTCTGATGAAGTCTAATCACAAGAAATCGAATTACATAAAAATAGACAATAATTCTATCTGCAATTTGAATATGATCTGAAAACGGGTTCTTCAGCGTTTCAGATAAACGGCTTATTGCGTGTGTAATATCAGGTTGTGTGATTATTGCAGAATATTGAGCGAATCTTATTTTTATAAAAATATTCTTTGATTTTTGTTTCTGATATTTGATCTTTGTAAGACGAGAAATCCAGGA